GGGGGGGGGGGGCCGCGCAAAGCTGACAGAAAACAGCGCCGGTGCAGCATTGTCCACCTTCCAACTCCCGCTCACCCCGGACTCGCAACCAAACCAAGTGTTTACCTTCACGCTCACCGAGCCTGTGGCAGATCCCTCGCGCCAGGACACCTCGCATCCGCACGAGGTCTTCCTCGACCCGACGGGCAAGTATATACTCAGTCCGGACCTAGGTGCGGATCTGATTCGCGTGTTTACCATTGCGTCAGACGGGATCCTGCAAGAATGTGACCCGTTCAAAGTAACTGCTGGCAATGGACCGAGACACGGCGCATTCTATCCTGCTTCGGTATCAAACGACCATAATACCACGACATTGTACATCGTTAACGAACTCAGCAACACACTTAGTACCTACGCCGTCGAGTATACCGACGACGACAGCTGTCTATCTCTCTCGACCCTAAACGAGACTACGCCCTACCCAACAACACCTCTGCCCAGCAACGCATACGTATCCGAGATCCGCATCCCGGACAACGACATCTACATCTCGATCCGGAGCGACCAGGGCTTTGCGCCGAATGACTCGCTCGCCACGCTGGAGTTAGTAGATGGGACAGGACCGTTGGCGGCGTTCAAGAATTTGTCCAGTTCGTATGGCACTGTGCCGCGCACGTTTGCCCTCAGTCCGGACGGGAGCATGGTTGCGATTGGGAACCAGGCGTCGTCGAATGTGGCTGTTGTAGCGAGGGATGTTGAGACGGGGCAGTTGGGGGAGCTGTTGGGGAGTGTACAGGTTGGGTCGGAGGGGCAGCCGGGCCAGTCGAATGGCTTGAGTAGTGTTATTTGGGGGAATGATCATGACTGATTTACATGTTCGACTAGGATGGTGTCCACTATTGGAAAGGTGATGATAGTAGTAATGAGAAGTTCCGTCTACATATTGTAGGAGTCAAAGCAAAAGCTACCAACCTTGGAAAGAGACCGGCGCTTGGTGCTGATTCCAAGCATGCTCCGTATATTGTATAAATTTCGAAACAGATCTTGGCTTCCTCATGTAGCTAAGCACTGAAAGCTATAGACTATTTACTGCGAGTACTAGTCCCTAGCACCACGTAGAGGTGTCTGTCTATCGCTAGGGGACCGAACCATTCATCCCAGCCAGCCTTGAAGAGCATCGGAGGAAAAGTATTGGGAGACAAAACTTGAATGATTAATTCATCTCGCATTCCCCGGCTTCTTCCGAGTTGCGGTAATCCGCCATAGTGCTTGAAGAAACACGAATGGACCCAAGGACTGCATTTTTAAAAAAGACGCATTGGGGAGTAATGTGTTTCAGGTACTCGAGATAATCTGAGTGGTAGCTTGCAAGTGTAACCCGGGGGTACCCCATACCCGACTAAATCAACTTTTAGTTCAAATTCAGCTCTTGAAATTCATTACGGTCCGTTATGTAAGCTTCAGGAGAAGCCGATCATCATTGAGTAGCCATCCCACTCGTCTAGAGCGCTAGTTTTGATGTCTTTGCTTTTCTTTTTCCAACTTTGCAACTCTTCTACCTCTTTGCGATACTGTGGTTCGCGTTACAATCTCGTTGGCTTGAGGTTGAGTTTGTGAGATTTGCTCTTGTACCCGTTTCACAGGCTTGACGGACTCCAAGAATATGGAGTAATTGGATGTGGAAAGACCTGACTTGGAATGCAAGGAAAGAAGATCCTTAAGACGAAAAAAAGTTAACAGTTATTTGTCCCAACCCGTACAGCGCCTAGTTGCCTCGAACGCCCAAGCAGGCGCTGTAAATTACCTAGATCCAGCCAGTTATACACCGACCTTTTCTGGACAAAATTTCATACACAAAAAGTGATCCTCAAGGAAACTTTGAACCACCGCATGATGGAGCTTTCCACATCAAAAACCGATTAATCAGGGAAAATGTGATAAAAAATAAACAACGAAATATTAACCAGTAAGCCACCAAAAAGGGTCCCCCTAGGGGGCTTCTGGTAATGCTCATTTTATGTGTAAATAATGCCATATAGTCCGCTGTCATCAAAAATCAAAAAAAGAGATAAGCACGTAAGTCTTACCCTATATGGCCTAGGGGGATCGGAACTGCAAAGCTTAGCCTCAGTAGGTGGATCCTTGGAACAATGTAATAAAATATTAACCACCGTGATTGACACTGCAACCCAGCCAGATGAGCATCTTCGATCTGGATAGCACTGATCTCGCTGAGGATACCTTCGTTTCACGGATGCAGAGGAAGAACCTCAAAGCGCTTACACCAGATTTGAGTGGAAGTCAGACAGAGGAACTGCTGGAGAACTTTCTTAGTGACTGGCATGAAGATATCAAGGATCGATTTTACCGCGAAATCAACCAGGACAACGCCGAAGAACTGTGTAGCACGCTCGATGTTGCATTTGACAGTCTACAATGGAAGGACGCCGCAGATAAGCAGTTGCTATGCCTGAGTCAGCTAACAAATTGGAAAACGGTTGATTTTTTTTTTGAGGCATTCGAATACCGTAACTGGAGCGCGTCCTCCTCTTGGTATAATGATTGATAGAACTCGCAACCTCAGGGTGTCTGGGTCGCGAAAGACAAGCTTGTTTTCTTTTACAGGCGATGTACATGGCAGGATCTTACAAGCTCATATGGGTTGTGAGGCTCTTGTCATCCGAAAGAGTAAATTCCATGACTGCAGTGCTAGAAAGGATGCTCACCTAGAGCTTTTTCTTCAATACATGGTATGTGAATTACAAAGGACCAACCAAGTTTGAAGCCCTCACACATATTGAATCGACAATCAAATCGAATACTGCTCCCTATTATGCCCAGGTCGTTGATCTTCTGAAATTCACGTGCCGGGAGACCTTCACTAGCAAACAAACGGCGTATCTAGTGTGACCTGCAGCATCGGGCGTTGCGAGCCTCAGGCAAGCGCATCGTCTCAAACGCGCACAAGGCGATTCGCTACACAAAAAACACGCGTATCCAACTGTCCAATATTCTTTCCTTTTACATTCATCTACCTACAACTCCCTTCAACAGCTTTGCCAATATGGCTACACATAAAAGTCGAAGGCTCCTTCCTAAGTCAGAAACGAATATTCCAAATTTTGCTATTTCTACGACTTTCCAAACGCTGGACAGGCTTCTTGCAGAAGCCCACCTCACCTCGATTCATGATCTCTCTCAGGGGTACCTCAGTTCTGGCAGCAATTTATTGCTTTGTGAGTTGTTTACCTAGGGGAAAAGCTGTCACAAGATAGTACAAGATATTTGATTCAGTATCGCATTGATAGAGTTCGGGCTAACGCTGTCAATTTCGCCGATCAATCCACCGAATACCAGACAACGTTTCAATCACATCTCTCTTGTCAACGGAACTTTATGATAAAAAACACACATCCATCAAATGAGGATTTCAAAACCCATTAAAGGGACACTCTTTAGTGGCTGGTTGTTCGATATTTTGTCTTTACAATCACATGTGTTTACAATGGCCACATTCTTGGCCTAGGATCGATCCTTCAAGACTGTGAAAGAGCTCAAAGTAAATTTCCACAACCTCAACTTCAACTTCAACTAAGATGGCACCGCGTTAGATCGATTGACGGAACATGCACGAGACCGATGTTGAGAACGACTACGCAGACGATGAGTTTAGAGTCATTTATTTCGGCGCCTTAGAAGGCGAAGTTCAGGTTGACGGTGGAGGACGACGACGTGGATGTGGATGTGGAGGGTGACCAATATACCTGGACCTACGTGCTTGCTGTTGTTCCGAGAAACGTTGGAGTGCCCTCAAGTGCTCTCTTGAACCGTAAGGTTCTCTCGTGCCCAGCCCTTCTCAAGCCTTAGAACATGAAAGACAGCAATGAGTGTCACCGGGAACTGAACCCATCCCAGTTTTTCTGACAGAAGTCGTCGCAAAGACCTCGCAGCATCATGAGCAATTTGCTCAGGTCAAGTAAGCTCCGGAATTACTTGACATTGAAACCATAATCAGGGGTAGGGTACTGAGGCCTCGTTGCGGCATCGCGCTATTTCTCTCGCATTTCATGAACACCTTCGTTTGTCAACTTAGCAAGGCCTTAGCCCGAACTTGGAACAATGACGGAGAATGACCACGACCCTCGGGTCCCAGCACTGAAAGTGCTGATAGGGGGCTGCTGAAAAGAAGATTGACAGAGATCGCAAGCACTCTAGTGGCGAAAGCAGAAAGCAGTCCCAGAGGCGCACGAATGCCAGCGAGAAACATCCTGCTAACGACCACACAAATGTGCATCCACAACCAACCACATCACAATTAGCAAAACTATAAATTTCCTCACCCACGATGCAGCCAGCGAGCAGGCCTCAATAGGATCGGGAATCGAGACTGAGGGACATGTTTCACACCCACTGTCAGTGCTTGTTCCTGCGAGTGAGCCCTCGCCCTACAAAATACTTGGAATACTATGTGCAAATCCCGTGTGTTCAAGATGGCAGTTTGGTGCAAGATGAGGGATATTGTTTAACCGTGTCTCTGATAGACACCGCCAATACGAATGGAAATTGGTCTGACGCAACTACGAAATGGGCTCGGCAAACAACGAACAGGAATATTCGAGGTCCATAGCGCAGCTCCAAAACTTTCAACAATAACTCGTCCAGTACAGAAGGACCAGGGCTAGTCTTCGATGCAGGATTCCAAAATTAGTAGAAAAGAGGACAGCCGATTCATATTCATGGCGGATTTTACACGGAAGACATGGATGCGGAGCATGGAGCTCCCGGACCGAACGACAGTGATGAGGGCAAAGGGAATAGAGAAGCGAGAGTACTGACATATAGCATGCATAAACCCTATGTAATTTAGGCAGATTACCTTGCATTGAGCCCCAGCTCTTCGCGAAACGGACTCGCTGATTTCTTATCGATAAGCCAGCCGGCTATCCGGCGTGGTGTCCGTTAGCGCCTGAGGCACGCGGCCTCTGCTCCACGGGTTTTCCCGGCATACAAGGATCATGATAAAAAAAAAAAAGAAATCAGTTCATAAGGAATAGAGACACGGCAGGGATTGGCTGGAGTCGGGCATTGACATACCAGTTCGCTGCAGCGTGAGAATGTTCCGCATCCAGCTGCGATTAGATGTATACTTGCGATAAGTTCATTTGCTTCTTATTCTTAGGCTGGTAAAACGGCCTGCCTGAGGCATTGGCAGAGCTTTCCAGCTAAGTTAAGCTAAGCTGGGCCGGCGCGGGCTCTCATAGGCCAGACAGCTCCGTTCATGCCTGAAACAGCAGGTAACATTCCCCTCCTTCGCCCCCCCCCGGACAAGAAGCTCCTCCTCCCTCCCTTTTTCTCTTTTCCTCTCTTCCTATTCCCGCCTTCCGGTGTCGCTTTCCGGTCGTATATATCTCTCTCCCTCCCCGCAGCACGCATATCTATCTATCTATCTATCTATCTATCTATCTATCTATCTACCTTATACATCCCTCGTATACGCAGAATCCAGACGCTCGGTGCTTGCGTATCATGTCTCTGGCTGCCCGGGTGATTGGCTGATCCTTCTCGTCTCCTCTCCAGCTTCACACATGCAGACCATGCCCCCGCGCACCTCCTTGACGAGCTCCTTCTCTGTGTCGGATGCCAACAACGAGGTGGTGTGCCCGCTGACGAACAATGATGGCTCCAATTGTCGCAAGCGATGCTTGGGGGTGAGCTTCCTCTTATCAATTTCTGTCGCCTTGGTCCTCCCGAGTCATCCCTCCCTGCCTCCCTCCCCTCCTCTCTCGAGCAGAATTCTCTCTGCTTATTGTTCTTGCCCGATGCCATGCAACAACACTACTGCTAGATATTAATGGCCATGCTGCTTGCCAGGAAAAACGCTACCGGTCCATGCAGGAGCACATCCGCAGGGCGCACCCGAGCCACTACATACCGAAGCTCCCCGCAACCGAGGAGAGCTTCCTGCTGATGGTCAATACCCCGCTGGACCAGCGCGCTCATCTCGCCTCGCTGCCCACCCCATCCCCCGCCAAGAAGCACGGTATGTTTTCCTCCCTCTTATGGGTTATTTTACAAATAAGCATATGGTATATGTACATATATATATACGCACATTCTAACTGGTGGCCAGATGCAAGCCCTCCCGTCACGCCGCGCACTATCGACGAGGCCCACCCGGCCGCTGCCACCGCTGCCGTCGCTTTAGCTCAATTGCATCACCACCGACTGGCTTCGGACTGGGACGAAATGGTGGGTGATTCTGGCAGACAAAATAACCATCGCAGCACTGATGGACCGCAACAGGACACACACTCGGACAATGAGATCGGACACCGCATGCGCTCGTCCATTGAATTGCCCCCGCTCAGAGACCACTTCAAGCAGGAGCCTCTGCCGCCATTCCAGACTTCACGGCCCCGCGAACTGCTGCCGTCCATATTAAACCATTCTCCGCCGGGCCGCTCATCTACGCTGCCGCCATTACAGCGCAACAACAGCAACAAGATTCAGCGGCCGCGCAAATCGTCCATAACTCAGAATGCGCGGAAGCCCAAGCACGAGCGCACCCGCTCCAAGGAATTTGCACGACGGCCTAGTCTCGGCGACCGGAAAGCACTATCGGCCGAGCCACAGACGGCTGCGTGGGTGCAAGGAAAGCGGTGGGAAGATTTAATTGAAGCTGCGACGTCTGCGACTGAGGTCGACGAAGACCGGGACACGACTCCGGTCAGTTTTCTTTCTCTACCTTTCCCCCCTCCCAATATGCAAGCTAAGTAAGAGTCGCAGGTGCCGCATTCGCCATCGGTTTCAACGCTGCTCAACAGTACGACATCAATTTCGTCTGCAGCAAAAAACCGCAATTCGTTGCCTCCATCATTACAATCGTCTAGTCTTGCGCCTCTTCGTCGCTCATTCCACGGTTCATCGTACACAGAGTCACCACTGCAAAAGACGCTAACGCCGCCCCCGTTAGACGCACATCGCATGCGAGATAGCGATTTGGAGCCTTTTCCATCAATTGAGCCTGCATTAGATTCGGCATCAACAGTTTCGGGTAAAAATTTTCACATGTCAGCCAGCGGGCTACCCTCTTCCGTCAACTCCGATTCGAGTCCTCTGAATCACCTGCACAACCACGTGCGACCGCAGCATCGATTTTCGAATCCGACGCCCTCGACATTCCGACACCGCGACATTCAGATCTACTGCGCGAATTGCAACCGCGCCTGGCCACTGCAGGAATGCTATGCCTGTACTGAATGCATCTGCGGGGTGTGTCGGGAGTGCGTGGGCATGTTTATTAGCAGTCCGCCCATGTCGTTTTCGCACCCGATGAGCAGTCCTAACAAGGCTCCGACGAGCTATCCCGCGCCGCGTGGATGTCCCAGATGTCGCACCGTAGGGGGGAAGTGGAAAGCCTTCCAACTGGACTTTCGGTGATCCTCCCCTCTAAAACAATTATATTTTTCTTTTCAATGACAAGGACAACGACAATAACGAACGACATGACGAGTTATGAAGACTGGCCGTTCTCGACAGGGGACTACGACTTAAAATATAACCTCGCTCGTCCCGGCTGACAGGCACGGACTGCTAATTTCATGTTCATACATATTCATTCTCACATTCACATTCACACATTATAGATGGAAAAGCTGGTCTTTTGCATGCTATTTTTCATGGTGGTATTTATTTCTCTGGGCTGGGTGTATTGGTAAGGTGGATTTTTGTTTATTATTGGATTTTTGTAAAGGAATCTCGTACATATGAATGAAAGCAATCATATTCTCGCGCAGTCTATTGTCTTATGCAAGCGACAATATTATAATCTTTACCGCGACATTCAAGCCGATTCTGAGCACCTCATATTTGAATCAACCCAGCCATCGAAGAGTCCGGTCGTGTAGGAAAAGAAGTATGTGAATATGGTCCACGTGATTAGGGCAGCTCAACAACTAAACCCCCATTCCAAAGTTTACACGGGAATTCTCCAGTTACATATATGTTCTATCCAGGTCTGGCCAGTACTTTATTCCCACCGTTCCTTGCAATAACAAAGTTGACGTCGTGAATATCTTTTTTTTCTTTTTTCCTTTGAGCAGCAGCATCAACCGGTGCAAGCAGGCTTACACAGCTAATATCGAAGCACTTCTTTGCCTCTTTAATCATTTCCTCTTGCCGGGACTCGCCTCTGACTGGAAATCATAGTGACGTACCGTAACCCTAGTAACCCTGATTGGAAGCTTGTCGTTAGGGACCGTCTACAACAGTACCTAGCCTAAGTACTTAGCAAGGCCAGGCAGATGTAGCGGCGTGTTGGCATGATTCGATCGGTTGGGTCGTTTATCGTTGTTGCTTCAAAAGGGAGACTAGGACTTCAAGTTCTAGATTTCAGTATTCAAGCTATTGCTGTGGATGTACTTGGACAGGGCCGTGAGATGACTCTTATCATGACTTGTGTGAGCTGAGTGTAACTATTATGTACAATATGTTCAAAAACAGAGCACCCCATAACCCCATCTAATTATTTAGGTATCCTTCCCACAACCACAAAAAAAGCGAGAGAGATAACTTGCATAATGCATAATGCACAGGTATATAGAAAAGACTCTATCAAATGAATATGTTAATGCAAGAAGAGGAAGATAAAAGACAAAACAAAAGACCCTCCGTAAATGGTACATGCGTTTTTGAATATATTCGTGCTGGTGCTTGCTCATGGTTTATCGCCCTCGGATAACCGTCGACTATTGACCCCTTCTGCCATCTTCTTTCCCACCTCATAGCTCGATATCATAATGGCACACGCCGGAGCAACCTTTAGACATCGCGCGGCCCACCCTCTAAACAGCCCCGCCGTGCCTTCGTGCTGGAATATATGCAGTAAAAAGCGCGGCATTGGTAGTTGTTCCGGATGTATAGTGGCCGCAGAAGTAGTAGTAGCAGCAACAGCAGCAGCCTTTGCTGAAACGTCTTCGCAGCTATGCCGGAACACTTGCTGCCGGGTCTTGCCCACGTCAAAGGGCGTCGTGACCAATGCTGCCACTGCCCCGGACACCGACCCGGCGATGAAACTATCCATTAACGTGATGGCTGAACTTTGATGAGACCGCGAGTCCAGGCGAGACTTGAGTTGTCGTCCATCCTTGGCATCTCGCATACTATTATGATTTGATTCACGAATGTTTGTGAGTACATCTCGCACCGCCTCGTAACCCCACCAATACAGGCCTGAGAAGGGCACATCGCGCCACATGGTCAAGCTCAAACCACGCCATAAAGAGCCATATCCTTGAACGCGAGTCATCTGGTGAAGACCCTCGAGTGTAGCGCGGAAATGCCCCGTGCCAGTACCCGGCGTTGCCTGCAGTCGTGTCCGGAACATTTCAATGGGGCTAATCACAGATGCAGCAGCAATTCGCGCAACACTGCCAGCAACCAACGGCACAAAGCCATCGGAGACATACTGTGGAATAGGACTGCGAGGGTCAACTCGCATCCACTCGTACCCCGCTAGATAAATCACATTTGCCGGTATTGCCATGACAAGGGTGGGCACTAGTCCCCGCCACAGGGTTAAGATTCCTTCATTTCGCGCGATTTTGCGTATCCCGTCAAATGTCGAGTTGAATTTGCGCTGCTGCGTGTCTTCCACGGCACAGTCGATTGTTCGGCTCACGGCCCCATGGTCGACTAGGCACATTTCTGGGTTGTTTCCTATCCAAAATACTTCTCGACAGCATGCTGTTACTCCCAGATCTGCAGGTATTTGTTTAAATGCATTGGTCGTGTGCGCGGTGAATCCAGGTGTGATGTTGTTAGTATACATAGTTGATGTTTGCGACTGCAAACGTATTCGTACAACATCCAAGGGCGTTGCTATTTCAATCAAACTTTAATGTTAGAGATTTCACAGTCACAAGTCTTTTAGGGGGAGCAAATCTTACCCAGAAGAGAGGTAAGAATGCTGCCCGCAGTTGCGGAGAGCATCCTTTGACCGACTGAGACTTGCGCATCCCCATTCCCATTCTGCGTGGCAGCCAACGGACTACCGGTCGAGTTAAGAGCTGTCATCGCCGGTCTCTCATGATCGTGCCAGTCTTGATCCTCGATTAAACCGGTATATACACTTCCCTCCGCGAGTGGCGAATGCTTGTCCGAAGGCATTTGCCCACCCAGGGGGGGGCTTGCGTGTACGAATTGTATATAAACAACCTGTGACAATATCGACTCCAATATCAAAACTGCCAGTTACTGTCGATAAGTATAAGCTCGTTGGATTGCGAGGGAGGGCGAGATGACAGAACGAAAAAAGCGATGACTCGAACAACTTTTGAAGTTCAAACTTGTTAATCAAGATGCAAACCCGGATTCCGATTTAGTTTAGCGTCGGCTCTTGTCGGCCAATCAGCGGGCCGACTGTGGCGCGGATTTAAGATTGGGGCTAATCTCCGGTTAGTCATCGTTTCTCCTCCGCAACTTAGCAACTTCTCTCCTCGTCGAGCTATACTAAATACTATCCCCTCGTTCTCGACCGAGTACATACACACTGCGCTCGGACTGTCACTAGCATGGCTCTGTTTATCCTCGCTGGGTCAGCATACTGAGAGGTGATATTAGTCTCCTGGAGTGATGTAGTAGTGACCTTCACTCTGTACTGTGGCGGTTTCTCAAAATCCCGATTCTAAAGGCAGAATGGAAGAGAATCCGGAACTCAACGCCTTTAGGCGTCAGTGGCGCGAAGAGGTGTCCCGCAGAAACCAGACAGTCTCTTCTACTGCTTCAAGCCCGGCAGCAGCAAGATCTGTGCCGCATACAGAATACCTTCCGCCCACCAGACACGAGGTCGCTGATCGGAAGGACGACGACGCCGACGATGACTTGGACCGAGACTATAGTGAAATTATAAACCGGACTGAACATTTGGCTCTCAAACCAGCAGCCGATGAAGACGGCTTCCAGCGATTGCCGCAGAAGGAGCCTCGTTCGGCGTTGGAGCATTTCGAAAAGGCAGTGGAAAGAGAAGCAGAGGGCAATTTAGGGGATAGTTTAGCTCACTATCGCAAGGCCTACAGGGTAAGAACTGCTTGCTACATATTATTGATTATGGTTTCGGTGTTAATCCAAGTGTGCAGTTGGATGCGGCTATTGATCAAAAATACCGCAATAAGCACTTTGCGAATAAGCCGGCACCAGCTTCAGCTACAAAGTCGCCTGAGACCACAAAGGATAGAAAGGAAGAGGTCGAATTGCTACCTACACCTGAGCTAATATCGTCATTCGCACACCTGCCAATACCCCCTGCTGAACCTCTCATCGAGGGCGACATCCCTCCTCCGTGCCCCATTTCGAACATTCCAAATGATGTCTTAATTGAAATATTAAGACACATTGCTTTGATGGATCCGGCATCTTTGTCTCGTATGGCTCTCGTTTGCAAGCGTTTTGCTTATCACTTTGCCCATGAGCAGCACATCTGGAAGAGGCTCTGCCAGGGATATGAGTTTGGATTTCCAGCCATGCATTATTCGTTTAGCTGCGATCTACTCGGTAACCCATACCACTCATTTATTCCGCGCTATACTCCATTTCCGCGGGGGGCAGGAGCAGCTGTCTCGCTGCCCGAAAACTATTCGACCTGGAGTCAGGTATTCCAATTATTTCCTCGAATTAGATTTACTGGTGTTTATATTAGCACAGTCAATTACACGCGACCTGGAGGAGCTTCTTCATATGCAAATGCAGCATGGAATGATCCCATTCATATCGTGACCTATTTTCGATACCTACGCTTCTACCCAGACGGGTCCGTTATTTCTCTGCTTTCTACCACTGAGCCCATGGACGTTGTCCCTCATATCAGCAAGGAAAATGTTGCTGCTGCGAGGCCAGCCAAGGGCCACAAGAAGAAGTCGGATACAACAGCATCCCATGAAGCCTTGGCTGCCAATGCTCCGGTACCACCTGTCGCCATGCAAGCTCTGAAATCTGCCTTGTGGGGTCGATGGCACCTCACGCGACCTGATGCTGAGGAGGATGAAGGTTCAGAAGTAATGAATGGGGTTAATTTGCCCTCGCCTGCGAAGCCGAAGCCAAAGGACAACAAAGGCCCGGGAACCGACCCACGGGACCTTGTAATCGAGACGGAAGGCCCTTATCCTCAATACACGTATGTTCTTCATCTAGGACTGCGATCCTCGAATCCAGCCCGTGCCGTGGGCTCTACAAAGGCGCCGCCTAATGTTTCGAAGAATACGAAGCTTGTCTGGAGAGGTTTCTGGAGTTATAACAAACTTACTGATGACTGGGGTGAGTTCCAATTGCGAAATGACCGTTCGTTTGCATTTAGACGTGTTCGGGGCTGGGGGATGTAACGCATTCGATATGTGTATATACATACATACATAGTATGCTAGATATGTAGAAACTATTGGACGTGGAATATAGAAACCATGGTCTATTTATCTTTCCCGGCTATTTTAAAAGCCTATGGCCGCTTATCGATAAGCTCGAGCTCTTGCCGAACCGAACTTTAGCCGGTCCAAAAACCGCCTAGCGCGTCGAAAAATGTTGTTCACATTCAACCTTGAACCTCAACCTCTACGCTAGAAATATGCTATGGACGACCGTATACGAAAATCACTGCGCTATCATTACCTGCGCAGAAGTAGAATATTTCTCTTTCTTATTACACTTGTACTCATATTAATCAGGGACCGAGACGAACGAAAACGGTCCCATCGCCGCTGGAAATCGTATATATACCAGCGCATGCGAGAGACACAGAAAGAAGCTACTTTCAGGACGTCTTAATTGATTGCCAATTAATTGTTCAACGTGGACGAAAGCCAAGCAAGATGCCGGAGAGGGTGCTCACGAAATTCGATGACTCGGACGACGAGAAGACGACTCGGACGACGACGAGTCTTCCCAAGGATAATAATAAGCAGCAGCCATTGAAGATCCAAAAGAAATTTGGTGAAACGAATTCTAGCAACAAGAAGCGCAAGAGGGATGATAATCGTAATGAGACGACGAAAACAGCAGACGTGTCGATATCCAAAAACCAAGAAAACCGCAACAATGGCCATCCGCGTCCGTTCAACCATAGGAAGCAGCACCAGCACCGAGAAAATATATCGACATCACATCAACCATTGAGAGAGAAAGCCAAGATTCTTCTCGAAACTCGCAAAACTCTACCCATATTCCCGCATGCAGACGAGATCCGCCAACGCTTGAAAGAACATAATGTGATGTTACTCATTGGTGAGACTGGAAGCGGAAAGAGTACACAAATACCGCAATTTTTGATGGATGAAGAATGGTGTCAGGCAAAAAAGGCCAAAGTTTCCCTTGCTCAGAGTGACGGATCCATGAAGAAGAAGAGCATAACAATTGGCGGGTGTGTCGCCATTACGCAGCCACGACGAGTTGCTGCCATTTCGCTAGCAAGGCGCGTTGCTGAAGAGATAGGTACTCCGCTTGGGAAAGCGTCTCCTGCGAGTAAAGTAGGCTATTCAGTGCGGTTTGATACGTCTGTGTCTCCGTCTACGCGGGTCAAATTTCTCACGGATGGAATGCTACTTCAGGAGATGCTTCATGATCCGTGGCTGACAAAGTATAGCGCTGTGGTTGTTGATGAGGTTCACGAAAGGGGTGTGAATGTGGATTTGGTTCTTGGTTTTTTGAAAAATATCCTTTCAAGTAATGGCGAAGGTCGTGGGGGCTTGCCATTGAAAGTCATCGTTATGAGTGCTACGGCAGATATGGAAAGTCTACAAGAATTTTTCGGCCATGGGGAGGATTCAAAACGATCTACAGAAAACGGCGAATCAGATAATACTGAAAATAATGCTGTGGTCTCAACTTGCCATATTAAAGGTCGCCAATTCCCCGTTCAAACCATCTACTCACCGGCACCTGTCCACGATTTTGTGGATGCCGCCCTCGAGACGATTTTCAACGTTCACATTAAGGAGCCCATGCCCGGCGATATACTTGTCTTTCTCACGGGACAAGAAACAGTGGAAAATCTAGAGCACCTGGTCAACGAGTACGCCGTAGGAATGGACCCATCGTTGCCCAAAGTGCTTGCTCTACCTCTATTTGCAGCTCTCCCTCAAGCAGCCCAGCAAAGGGTCTTTTCACCAGCACCGCCACGAACAAGAAAGATCATTCTCGCCACCAACATCGCCGAAACATCCGTCACCGTCACCGGCGTCCGCTTCGTGGTAGACTGCGGAAAAGCGAAAATGAAGCAATTCCGCTCCCGCCTTGGACTTGACTCGCTATTAGTCAAACCCATCTCGAAATCAGCTGCTATTCAGCGCAAGGGCCGTGCAGGACGAGAAGCTCCCGGGAAATGTTATCGACTGTATACAGAGAGAGACTACCTAGCCCTAGACGAGGCCAATACCCCCGAAATCCTACGTTCCGATTTGAGCCAGAGCCTGCTCATCATGAAAGCTCGCGGAGTCGACGACATCATGAACTTCCCTTTCCTTACACGGCCTCCACGAGAAGCTCTTGAAAAGGCGCTCCTGCAGCTATTCAACATCCAAGCATTAGAAGAGACGGGTAAAATCAGTGAGATTGGCTTGCAAATCGCGAAATTGCCTCTCACTCCATCCCTAGGTCGGGTGCTTCTAGCCGCCGCGGGATATGGTCAAGACTGTCTTCTAGATGTGATTGACATCATATCGTGCTTGAGCGTGGAAAACATCTTCCTGAATACTACTTCTGAAGAGAAAAAGGAGGAAGCCGAGAAGGCGCGTCGCGATCTGTATCGAAGGGAGGGTGATCATCTGACCATGTTGACTACGGTGCAAGGCTATGCAGCGGAAAACACAGATCGAAAGACGTGGGCTGAGCGGCACATGGTTTCGCATCGGGCGATGCAATCTGTCATGGTAAAGCTACCACAACTAGGAGAAAGAGATACAAAGGCTTACAAGATATATAGGACGTCCGCAAACAACTCACGGCACAATGTAAGCAAGCAAAGCTACTCACTGAAGAAGACGAGTCGGGACAACGACAACCCCCTCCAGACGCGATGTCCGCAGTGTCAATTCTGAAGAGTTTCCTAACGGGCTTTTCGACCAACACTGCCCGCCTGGTGCCTGACGGGTCCTATCGAACGGTTGTGGGCAATCAGACGGTGGCGATTCATCCGTCTAGCGTGTTGTTTGGCAAGAGGGTTGAAGCGATTATGTATAATGAGTTCGTGTTTACGAATAGGAGTTATGCGAGGGGAGTAAGCGCGGTGCAGATGGATTGGGTTGGGGAGGTGTTGGCTGGTTGAATCTCCATTATAAATGTAAATACCCTAATAATATACCAAAGGCCACGTTTGATTCAACCTGTGATATATTAAACTATTGATAATCCCCTGCTAAAGACGAGACCATCTATCCATCCATCCAAACAATCAACCCCAAACGAGATAACCATGTCGATCATAGAATGACACAGGGCACACCCCCGTCGCCAGTCGAGCTATCAACAACGGCCTCACAGCCACAGCCCATGCTGTACTCTGTATCCCTCACCATGCGACACTCATTTCGATCGTAGTCGCCCTTCTTCTGACATTGCGGGCAATCATCATTGCTGTTAGATGTGACGTATTGGGTCACATTTCGAGTGCGGACTCGATGATTTGTGCGTGGTAGAGTTGGGCAAGTGTTGAAGCCGGCGCGGTTGGTATTATTGGCCTCGTTCTGAGTTGACTTGGGTTTGTGACAGGCTGAGGCGAGAGTTACCCACTGATGACCGCAGGTTGTCGAGTGGTGGTATGTGACAAAACACATTGTTTTGTTGTAAATATTGATGTCAATATTATCCAAAATGAATAGTGGTTTTATTTGAAAGGTTGGCTGGAATATTCTTTTCTTTTGGTTGAAAGCTCCTGGGACTTGGGTGGAATGGGAGTTTCTTTTCTCTCTTCTCAGTCAACTAACTGTCAGACACAGACAGTTGTGTCAAGTATTGATGGTTTGACAGGCTTAGTTTTAGGCAAAGTGCCTGCTTATTCTTGCTCTCCACTTCCCTCAGACTTATTGTGAATAGCTTGCATGAGTTCGTACAACTGGCCGATTTGCTGGTCTGATTGAAAGAGAATAATAAAGCAGTCAGAGAGTGTTCACAGGATTTTGTAGAAGAAAAAGCCAAGCACGAAATGAAAGGAGAGAAATAAAGACGACACTAACCACTCATCTTATCAAGCTTGGCCTTGTCTAATTTGTTGCCCTGCCACGAATCACCTTCTAACTGCTGTGCATAGAGTTGCCATTCTGTGAGGAAGCCAACCTGCACAAACATCCAACACAATTAGCATTCTCTCTGCATCCATTCACACATGAAGCCATACATACAATGTGAATTGGATTGTCGATATTGCGATGCGCTCTAAACTCGCTCTTGACATATTCATCTCCAAGCAGACGCATCTCTACCGGAAGCTTTTTGCGATGCACCCGGAGCAGGCGTCGGTAGAGCGGGATTGGAGGGAGGAGGGCAAGAGGCTCGGTGTTGAGGCTCGCTTTGGAGCCAATGGTGACTGGCGCAGCTAGAAGGCGGGTGAATACTCGCATATTGGTTTCCTTGGATTTTGGTGCAATTGATATGATTATTGTCGAAGTGAAAATGTAGTTATGTTGGTCGCGGAGGTCGGCGATAGTTAAATAATTCCGGATGACTAATAAAACGTGGCCAATCAGGCGGGCCGGAGGCCTATTCGACTTATTTGATGGCACAAAGTCTGAATCGACAATCAAGAATTTGAAGACTAAAGTAATCAGAATCTCTCGAACTGAAGATGCTACCAACTCCATCAACATCTCACGTCTCTTTCGACGCGATTTACGAGCCCGCAGAAGATTCGTATCTGCTCCTCGACACATTATCGTCGGAATCAGAAGCCGCTTGGCTCACAGAACGATTCCATATAGCCTCACCATCTTCACAAACAACAGGAAAATCAGCGTCACCGCTCGTTGTCGAAGTAGGCAGTGGCTCTGGCGTTGTAATCGCTTTTGCAGCCGCCAATGCCCAGCACATATTTGGCAGGGACGACATTCTGGCATTAGCGATAGACGTCAATCGCGATGCGTGTCGTGCAACAAGGCAGACAGTGCAAACAGCCATTACGGAGAAACTTGCCGAGAATACTTATACTAATGTAGCCTCCTCTCCAAAGGCCATGCAGTTTGTGAGCTCGCTAACGGCGGATTTGGTTTCCCCTTTGCGGCCTGGCACAGTGGATGTCTTGTTATTCAATCCGCCATATGTACCCACGCCGGACTTGCCTGTATTACCGCAACCTGAAGCTGAACGTGCAAATAATGGCAATAACGAGACCAAGACGTTATCAAGGTCTGAGAAGTTTGAGCGGGATTCGTACCTTCTATCGCTTTCGTATGCCGGGGGATTCGATGGCATGGAAACTACGAACAGGTTCATTGATGCCATTTCGTCAATACTGAGTCCTGAAAGGGGGGTTGCATATCTTCTTCTCTGTGCTCAGAACAAGCCTGAAGAAGTCAAGGCAAGGATTAAGTGCGACTGGGAGGGGTGGACCGCCGAGACAGTGGGTAGAAGCGGCGTGCAAGCTGGTTGGGAGAAACTGGTTATTTTGAGAATTTACAAAAAGTGATGGGCACGGTCCTCGTTTATATCACTCGACGGGAATTTTTGAAGATATATTCGCAATATCATACATCACGCGCATTGGAACATGGACATTTTCAAGTCCTCGACTTAAAATTCATCTCCGTGAAGTCTCAATGCACAAGGGCAGTCAAGACAGATTCAATCCTATCGACATCTTCAAAGAATGGCACAATCAACTAGATCTCAGCGTATGAGGCTATCAAGATCAGCATCCACCACCTCCTGCTCCCGCAGTTGAAGCACCCACAAAACCGGCCATGACACCTGCCGAGCTAGAAGAAGCACGAGCTCCGCCGCTACCCAAGGCTCTCTTTCTAGTCTTTGCCATTCTTTCCAGGTCGTATTCAGTGCGTCTGTCGTACTGCCGCGAAGCGTTGTATTGCACGCTCCGGTTTGGCACATGGCGCACGGCAGGAGAGGTTTCTTTTGCATGGTCGTCGTGGAAGAAGCACATGACGATTTTAGCTATTTGCTCTTTAATTCGTTTATGGCGGGTAATATTCTCGCCTTGTTGCGCAGAAGGTTCAACGCACAAGACTCGCGAAGAGGGGTATATATCTTAACAATAGGAATATCAAAAACTTTGAATATACAGAACAGTGTGCGAGAAGGCATACTAGATATAGCCCTCTGTCAAACATATTGGGCTTTCTAGCTAACGCTAATGATCTATTGCAATTGATTTGGATACAACTTACAACACATCCTTTCGGCCCCTCAGCTTCTTGATAACCGTCCTACAGAGCCTCGTGCGATTGCAGCTGGAGAGCGATTAATTGACCACCTGAGAGATTAGTTCACGTGCAAATAAGTTAGCACGCCTCTGAAGTCATCATTGCTTGAAGATCGTTTCTACCAACCAATGGATGTCAGAAGCATTGACGCTATAGGCAAGCTTTAAAACCTTGGGTATATTTAGTCTATTTAGCCTCGTTAAATCTCGCTCTATCGATTAATCGAAAAGAGCCTTATCTCTGCAAAATTACCTCACGGAACAAATTTCCGCAACCAAGGACTGAGGAAAGGCAAGACTCCAAGCAAGCAAGTTTCCGAGATCGCTGAAGTAGGAACATCTAGCGTTGGTCACTAGTAGTTCGATAGCTACAGTGTAACTACCATCGCAATGCTATAGATTTCAAGCTGCAGAGAACGTAAGGGTTTGAAATTTTATATTCTCACATGAATAGTATAGCATAACATAACATAGCGCCAGTGAACAACTATTGCCAGACAGACAAGCCCAGAGTTTTTAGGGTAAAGTACAGACACATGCCTCCCAACGAATCCGACCTAGCCGAGTTTCTGCAGAATCAAAGAGGATGTAAAAGAGAGAGATTAGTCGACTGCGTCTGCTTTGTCGAGTATCAAAAGGGAGGAAGCTGTGATTCATCCTTTCATACCCTTGAATCGAGCGAGAGATTTCCCCAGGTAGACGAGTTAAACGGTCGACTAATCTGAAAAGGAAAAAGAGGGTATACCTTATGTGTGTTTTTTCTTTCAAACCATTACTCTTTTCCTCTCTAATTTGTTTATCCCTTATCCTGCAGTGCTTCAGAATTCACATCTCTTTCCGTTCTCGTCTAGAAACCACGTCCGCGTCCTCGGCCACGACCCCGTCCACCACGTCCTCCCCTTCCACCAGGGCCACCACGGCCCCTGGCGCCACCGCGATCAGTCTCTTTTCTAGCCTTGTTCCTAGGCTTCGGCTGGTCATCGACCAGCAAATTATCTAGCTGAAGATTGTCCGGCAGGATATAGTAGCGAATTGTCGAGCCACGGATATTAATGGTATCAAGAGAAATAGGTTCGCGTCCTTTGGGCGTCATCTTCACTGTTCGCAGTGCCGTGTTCATCTGTGGTGATACAGAGGCTATGGTGCCGGATAAGATGGTTCCTGTATCATTCATATCAACATTAGTACTGCTGTCTTTCTGTTTTCGCACGCGATATTAAACTGGGAAGAATGGACTGTACCATTCTTCAACTCAATCGTCACCGTCTCATTCATGCATTTCATTAAGAACCTATATCATTCAACCACCTCGAGATCAGTATTTGAATGCACGAGGGGGAAAGGGAAAAAACCGCACCGAACGAGCTTCATCTTGACAAACTCCGGCTCGAATTCCCAAAGCTACGGATCTCTCAACCACAAAAACAAATAAAATAATCAGGACTAGTCTGTCTTTGCGCCCTTCGATTTTGAGTTGGCGTGTGTGCCGGAAGAGCAAGGTCGAAAAATACTATCTCTCAATGGAGAGAAAGATTGTGGCTCTTCACTTCAATTAAAACTTCGTACAGCGTTTCTCGTACTCGTGGTCAATTCTGGTTCATAGAGACCGGTCGATCGATGTGTCGTGCGGAATGAGGGAGGGGGGAGAGAGAGCTGGTAATGATTGATGCTAACTTCAAAGTTGTCCAAGCTTCAAAATTCCGATATGCGGTCGCGTCACGTGATGAGGTAAGCTTTTTAGCCAATCAGAGCGATGGATCTTTTGACGCTCGCAACTCTTCACTCACTTATCTATCCTATGGACCAAGAACAGCACCATTAATTGCTACTGTACGTGCAGATTGCTATGATTTCCCAGAAAAGTGCGTTTTGCGAATCTCTAACTTTAGGTACATGAACATGCAGCTTTATTCCGCTCATAAACACTTGCAAAACTCGTTGACTCTCTGCTTGTTTGAGCTATGAAATCTTCAGGCAGTGGATGTTCCTATGATCGAAGGTACTTTTTCTTCTTGTTCTCCGCCAAATCACTCGCTCGTTGAATCTCAACATCTTCAAACCCGTTTTGCAGCGTATTCACCAATTCTCTCAGTGGGAAAAAAAGAGGCTCATCCCTATCCAAATGTTCCCTACCAGGCATCAAACCACTCAGCCTTAAAGGAATATCTTTTATGGTTGCGAGGTCGATCAAGTTGCCTGGTGCAAAGACAGCCTTGTTCAAAATACATTGCCTATTGCCATCGCTGTACCATAAATGTACAGATAATGCAAAGTTGCCAACAAGACGGATTCTCCTGGATTGATACCATTGGGTTATATGTTCAGAGAGCCTTCTATGACTTATTTTCGGGAAGTCAAGCTCAGATAGCCCCCAGCTGTCAGTTGAAGTAGACCGTCTCTCCTTCTCTTGAACATCAACAAGTATGACAAGTTTAGTGTTGCCATCACTGCCTTCTAACCATCGTCGGGCATCTTCAAAGAGCTTTCTCGTAGAGTCACAAGTATTGACCTCAAGAACTATAATTGGCCATTTAGAATAAAGTCCTCTCAGTGACGCATCGGCTTGTTTGGTAGAGCCGCTAAACTTGTTGTCCAATGAACAAACTAAGAATATAGTTAGCATCATGAACCCAACTGATATGAGGAGTTAGGTCTATAGATCTATCACCATACCTATGCTGCCAGTCGATAAATACCGTATACCGGTAGTAGATTCCAACCTGTATTGTAGAGAAAACAGAAGCCCGTAAACAATGCCTGCAGCAGTGCCATGCATCCATCCCGGACGTTCTTTCAAGACAAGACATGCTTTCTGAGCATCGTACTCGACACCACGAATGTCGTTACCAACTGTGTCAAGCCAGTTTCTATACTCAGTAGGAGAGATCTTGAACTTGTCCAGAACAAGAGAATGCTCAGAAATACGTCTTAGCTCAGTGATATCATTAGCGGAAAGATCATCCAATGAGTGAATTCGATCAAGGATACGTTCGATTTGATCTTGTGCCTGATCTTTTCCATGTTGATAGCCGTTGATACATCTGGATGAATTTCTTGTTAACCGTGGGTTCTAGACACAATTTTATATGCTGGAGGACGGACTGGTAAAAGAGCCTGGGGTTTGAAGGTCCACAAAGCGACTCTTGGTTGGAAATTGATGAACGAAACGTTTGAGGTTCAGATCAACAGATTCAAACCAATCGAGTATTAAGATGCTGAAGGAAGAGGTGAAACTTTTATACAAGGGTAGTCATAGTTCATTACCTTTGTTGATGCTTTGATGCCTCCTTTGAAACCACGACCGCATAATACATGCTTTGAAAAGAAGTACTTTTAGTATATGCTTTCATCTCCTACAGTACATACCTAGGTAGGTAACACAAACTGCACAGCTAGTGTGTATAGCTGCATGTAAAAACTTCACCATTCAAGTTACAGCTTAAGAACAAAAAGCAGTTTACCATTCTAACAGATCCATACAAAGATACTACACTTGTGTGCTTCAAAGAGCTATTCTTGCTGAAAGCTTCCTTGGTGAACGGATTCATAAAGAGCTTCTAAGAATGGGCTGCTTTATGCCAGGTATACAGTTACAACTGGGTGTATGAATTAGATGATATACTGATTGTACGATGAATCTAGCATTGGTTATCTACCTGCACTCGCTATATATTATTCATGACAGAGTTGTCATACCTAGATTTCAAACACATAGTCCAGAGATTACTTTAAGAAGATAAATCAAGTTGCTAGTAGAATAAAATGCTATCACGAACGAAAATTTCCCAAGGCAACAAGTCATAACAAGAAAGCAGAAAAATAAAAATCCGTCATCAAAAACATAGTTTTATATGATTGGTATCTCATAAATTATCACCAAGAAAACCCTTGATCCATCGCTACCATATTCTGCCTTTTTCCTTTTCCCAGCCGAAGACCTCTGCGCCTGCCTCAAAAAAATAAATACTGCAAATCAACCTCATCGACGCCCCAATAAATGCTCCTCTTGTTGCTCGCTCGCTTGAATTAATATCAGCTAAAAATGAATGAATAAATGCATGGTCTAAAGCTTTTTTTTCGCGGCTGCTCTATAGATTTCTCAGCTCATAAGCAGCAATGCCGAGCCTTGAAAACTGAAATTTTGTCGTCGTAGAAAAGTATCTCGCGCAGTCTGAAAATAAAGCGTGGACTGCTAATGCCGTCGTGGTCCTCGTTGTCATCCGTGTCACCATCGTCATCGTCAGCAAGCGAGGTCGTGCTATCGCTGTTATTATCGTCATCGTCATCATCATCATCGTCTTCTTCCTCGCTGTTGGATTCCGAGCCTTGGGCGTTTGCATGATCACCTGATTCACTGTTTGAGTCCGAAAACCACGGAGAGTCACGATATAATTCGTTATTTCCCTTCTTGTCGCTTACGGGAGTTTCAAGAATCTCAAAACATTTGTTCTCAATACCGATGTAGCATAACTGAATTTCCGGTCGTAAAGTAACAATGTCCAGTACTTGCATAGCAAGCTCTCGATGTTTGTTCCTTCCAAGGGTCGAGTCAAACATGTTGGGCAAATAAAGAGCTCGCAGATTGGCTAACTTGGGTAGTCTCTGCAAGAAGAAATGCTACATACACAACCATCAGCAATTCAACGCTTTGAAAGAACGTAGGAGAAAGCAAGCTTACCCAATCTCGACGATCCATCCCAATACCTAGCTCGCGGAGCTGAGGCATCCGTCCGCTTGTCACAAACGCTAGTGCCTCTCGAGAAAGCATCCAATCTCGCCAATGGCCATGACTTGAAGAAACGGTTTCGTCACGTCGCGAACGATCAATAAGAACTTTTCTTAGACTAGCGCGCTGCCGACGCAGCACATGTTTATAGATTGCCTCAATCGAAACAACGGTCGTATAGGAGTTGCTCTCTTGAAAATACACGCTTTCCAGAGTATTCGGAGCAATAGCATCTTTTAGAAATAGCATCAAATAAGTCGAAACACGGTCAGTATGCAGATGCTTGAGCTTGAAAGGATAATTTTCCGCCGTCGTCTTGTCCTCAGAATCCTGCTTCTTAGTTTCTGTGGGAGGAGAATGTTTCCGGCGCAGTGCTCTCCACAGAGATTCATGCTCCTCACAGTTGAGTATTGTAAGTGTGGTCAGCCGACTCCAATCAATAGCTTTTATGAGCGTAGGCGTGTGGATGACAACATTCTCCAATTCAAGAATTTCCAGCTTGAGATTCTGCGGCTGGTCAATTTTCCCGCCATTTGCGGGACTATGCATAGCTTGCGGAACGCTGAAAATTTTTTTTATATCATTCTCAAAATTCACGGGTATCGTCGACTGAGCCGGGTGATGTTGCGGCTCTTGCACGTCGTTGACTGTCAAGTGGCCAAACATGTGCGAAGTAGCATCCACCCCATCACTCTGCCCTGTTGGAGGGACAACTGAAGGGGAGGTAGAGATATGAAGATCGTTTTCATCCTCAATCCAAGGTCCCTCAACAGGATATTCGGTGGGCATGGTATGTTTTGTGTCAGATGCATCCAGCAATATTGATAGAACGCCCCCAGACTTAGGCCAATTCGGTGCTTCCCGTTGAGAGCGTGCACTTGAGGGAGGTGCTATCTCAATTGGATACACCCATTTCTCCGGCTGGAATCGTTTCTGCATCCCAATGCGCAGTTCGCGTAACTTAAGCCTCGAGCGATCTATAAGGATAGCCATTTCCTCCAAATATGTCGGCTCATCAATGTTTAACACGCTCAAGGACCCTAATGGCGGCAAGACCGAGAAAGTGGGATATTCCACAAACCTGTACAGACCCATGGGGTTGTTTCTTAGTGCTAACGAGGAAGTATCATTTGGAAAAACGGCCACTCTTCGACTGTTATCGTGCCATCGAACCCAAACTTTCTCTAAGCGGCACTCGCAGTCAGGGCGTGTGTCAAAAGACGCGAGAGCAAGGAAGACATCTCGCATGACCCCTGTAGGCATATCCCAAATAAAGCTCTCCAGGTTTACCATCCTAGAGACTGCCAGAGCCACCAATGTCCCTAGCAGTTTACCCGTTTCTCTCGTAATCGCATATTCTTGTACCCATTCAGGGGGCCCATTACCGACACAGAACTTCTTCGTGTATTGGGCGTAGGAGTTGCCAATCCTGAACTGACCAAATTTTGTTCTGGAAGGGGTCGTAGGTTCCTGAGGAGTGGCTCGATGATGAGAAAATCCATCACAGCCGCATTGGTGACAACGGTGTTGACCACGTCGAGAGGATGCATTGGGGCTTTCTTTGAACGCATTTGCACCCATCACCAATGTCGCCAAGCCGTATGAAAGTGCATCCACCCCTACTGGTTGATCCGACACGGGAGTTGGCTCCGGCCAGACAATGTCGAATCGTGAATACATAGCAGGAATGGCCAAAGCGTGGAGAGCAGAGCAAGCACGGGCAAGCGAGGTCAGGTCATGTGTAAGGGTAATCTGATACGGCAAGAAGAAGTTAGCCTCGTCAAGCGCAAAGCAAGAAAGTTGGAAATGGGCTCAGGTTTCTGCCGGTAGCTGTACCTCTTTGACAATTTCTCTCAAAATGTCGAGTGGCAGGTCAAGCAAGGTAAGCGGCTTGCGAGGCTCAATAGGCTCAATAGGCTCAATTGGGCGCTTGAAGACAACACCTGGAGCTGTTGAATCACTTGCTTGACATTTAGTTGCATCATCAGCGCCAAAGACTGAAGTAGTTGCTGTAGACAACTGTGCGGGGTGACCAGACATCGAAGATTGCTCAGTCGCTGCCATCGAGGTGGTGTCTGCATCGTCATCGTCACCTAACGTAGGATCCGTGCTCAGGATGGCCTCTGACAAGGAATCATCGTCCATCCTGAGGAACAAAATCCAACATCCACGATGGGCTTTTGCTGTGATCGATTTAGACAAGACAGGAGGATAGACGATCGATCGGATAAGGCAGATGCCCCACAATGCCGGTCAAAAGCTCGCGGTGTGGGAGAGGAGAGGAGAGGAGAGATCTGCGCAAGTGTTTCGATGAGACAGATGGAAAAGAGAGGAACAGAAAAGGCTGTCTCTTCTCTGCAGCATGAATGGATATGCCGGGGTCTTAAGAGATGGCGAGAGCTCAGCCTTGCTGGGGGGACGGACCCGCCTTGTCTTGCGGGGAAGTTGGAACTTGCTGCTGACCCCGTGCTAAGCCCAATGCGGGCAAAGAGTGAATTAGTGGCCTGAGGAATCCAAATTACGAGCGATCCCAAGATTCACAACAACCTTAGATAATCAATTTTTATTATATTCTAGCAACAAAGGGGCTTCCTCTCTTGGAAAGAATGCTTGACACATAAGTCACATAGCCGATGAGCAGAAAAGAGAGCCAAAAAAAAAAAAAAAAAAAGAAAAAGAAACTATCGCCCAGACATATCTTCACTGCTGCTGACTTCAACAAGCCGTCCTACATAACCTTCAAGCCCCGAGAGTGCGATGGGATTCCCAGTAGCAGAGGTGGCAGTAGTCATGCCCGGCATTACGACTACCAAAGAGCCAACTTCAACCCATTCGATGGACGAGATGAATCCGAATGTGATGTCGACGTAGCCATTGACATGCGCACCGGACACGTCTATCGTCTTCTCGCTTTCTGGTCGTGCACGCCGAGATCTATGCTGCTTTTGCTTGTCCTTCTCTTCGTCATCGTCAAAGTTGAAGAAGTCAGGCTCTTCGAGAAGTGGCCCCGTCGGTGAATCAACATCTTCGTCATCCGCTAGTGCCACACAGGTGACTTTGGCTGCTGCTCGAATGTTGCCAATATACACCACGACAACGCCTCCGAGAATAAGAGGTGGAGAGCCTGGTGAGGAGAAGTCCCGCGCGGGGAATGTAGCTACAAACGCGGTGCTGAACGAGAGACAACTAGGAATGCTGCTACTTCCAGGACGCTCAGGAGATATCTTAGCCTGGGCTAAGATCATGCCTTTTCTGAGACGGCCGAGAGTGTTCACTTCTTTCCCGGGACCCCAGGGAATTGGTTCAACTCCAATGGTGCCTACTTGGTCCTCGAGAAGGATTCGCACGGACAAACGCAGATTGCGCACGCTAACAACTCGTACTCGCTGCCATTCCGCATGGGACAAGAACCGAGACTTCCCCGAAAAGGACCCTGGAGAGTAAGGAGAGAATTCCCCGGAGGGCGTTCTGCTTTTGTAGGGACGGTCTTGTAACGATCTTGGTCTTGAGCCCTGCGGTGTCGTGGGGTTATCCTCCGGCTTGATTTCCACCGCAATGGGCCCGACGACTAGCTCATCACCGACTGAAACGCTTCCGTGGCGAACAATTCCACACAGCACCACGCCTTTCGTATCTGATCGAGAACTGTCAAAGGACGAATACACCTTTGACGGGGGAATGGCGAAGACCTCGTCAATGTCAAATACATCCGTCGGTATTTCCTGTCGTCGCTGTAATCGTGGTGGGCGTACAAGTCTTGACGATGGGGTTTGTGGCAGCGGGAGATAGCGTAGCAAGGCATGAAACTTTCCTATCCCAGAGCTATTGACAGCGCTAGTAAGCAGAATGGGAGTTGTGCTAGACCAGTCGCCATTCACGGCATTAACGGTTTTGAGAGCCTCACTGCAGTCTGCCTTGGATATTTTGTGGATATTCGAATTTTGACCGGAGTCTTCCCCAGCAACAGCGAGCATAAGAGGCTTTTTATCCGCGGCCTTCATGGCCGAGAGCACTCTGGCTAGAGTCTGTTTTAGGCTAACGCGCGATGCGAGATCCAATTTTGTAATGGCCACAATCAGGGGCGTCTCAAGTCTTATGCAGAGGTCAAGATAAGCCAAGCAAATATCTATCTCGGGCGCCTGTTCACCGTCGTCCTGTGTAGTGCCAGTGCCATGAGAGCTGTTTGCTGGTATGCAAAGGAATACATAGTGTGGAGCCCAGCTGATCAGGCCCCGAAGGGTTGACTTCATATAACGGGGGAGACCCGGAAGGTCAGAGACGAATGCAACGCGTCCGCCATCAGAAGCTGCATGGATATCATTCCAAGCAGTAACATTTCCCGAGGCATAATTAACCACATCAATTGGACCCCCCGCAACAGAGGAGGGATCATGATAACCAATCAGTTCCTGGGCCACAGAACTTGTTATTCCAGATGATATTTCATGTCTGTGTTTCAGGAGACTCAGCCGGCTTTTCCCACGCCCATTATCGAGCGCAGATGTTGTCAAAGTGCCAAGTAGCGACGACTTCCCTGCAGCACTGGGACCGGTGATGGAGACGCGAATTTGCTCCGTGTGCGAGCAACTTCCATCTAATTTAAGCTCTTCCTTTGGCGCCGGTACGCTGTCATCCAAACTCAAGTTTTCCATGTTCAAACCCTCGGTAGACTGGCGGTTGTAGTATTCAAGGTCTGGACTCACCAAGGCCTCTGCAACCCAGAGCTTTTCAGAGCGAATGTTTGCGGAGTCGGCATCCTCCGTCCATTCACATGTACCAACTACCACTTTGCGAAGAACTTCAACTTTACAACCAAGACTAGCAGCCATGCCTTTTAGATTGTTTAGACTTTCATCTAACTCGTCTTTGATCAGGCCTACAAAAGTCCCAGCGTCGGCTACACCTATCTCGTAAAGTGCACCTTGGCTTTCTTCGAGACCTGGCAGAAGACGAGAAGGTTTCTGCGGAACCCCGAGCCTTGGTGTAGCTTCTGGTAGCACTGGAAGCACCAGATTGGCCGTAGAGGAGGAGTGGAACGGAGACGACTGCTGCAAGCGCCATAGTAACTGGGTTGTAAGCTGCTGCAACCTCTGCTGGCGACTATTCAAAGCTGAAGGCGTCGGGGGCGACCTTGGGGAAGGCAAAGCCTCTAAGTTGCTGAGGCTTAAGGTCGAACTAGGGTTTGGAATTGTACCTTTGAAATCGTAATGGCCACCTACCACTTGGCCGGTGGACATGGAGATAAAAGGCCTGCGAGGCCGAAGCAGGAGATGCAATTTATACTCCGTTGGACCCTCTTGAGGCTCGGGCTCTAGCTTGGTAATACCGTAGTCCGCAAGGCGGTTAGACTCGACCGTTTGTCGGCCAGTCTCTGAATCGCCGCGAACGTGTTCCCTTCCGCCAGCTCCCGGAAGATGTAGGTGAGGGGTTGACGAGCCAGAAATTGACCATGGCGAAGACACCCGAGGTGGATCGGGATCATAGGTGAAAATCGATGCCATATGTTTCGGAGTATTGATGGATAGTTGATATGCTTATCCTTTCTATTGATATTTATGTCGTTCACTGCCGTATTGATACCGCTCTCTTTTCATATATTGCATGTATCGCTGTAGTATGATAGCAAGGCCTCGTATACGCAGAGCCCAAAATCCGATGCAATATTGATAATAGATGATGATTCATCTTGGAGATTTGAGAGAAAGGCGGTGTCGCTGTTCGTTCTATTCCTCCAAAAAGGTCTGAACAAAAAAACTTATTCAAATAGAATTTGAGCGTTAAATTATGTGTCTAGAGAAGCATCTTTCTTTTTTGGCCAGACAAGCAATGGGGGAGAAGTTCTGGGTATTCAGTAAGTATGCGGATGGATCGGGAGAGATTTGAGTCACCGCTCAGTTAAGCCAAGACGTTGCACGTGGGAGTTTGATGCCTGAGGCAGAATTTATCACATAAGCATCCGTCGAGCACGTCTCTAGCCCTAAGCCCTAAGTGCCATATCGTCGCTGTCTATACAGAGAATAAATACATTTAGAGAGCAACGTTAAATATACACGCACGTACGTTCTCATATTAGCCTTAAAACAATCAAGAAACTAATAACTGTTTAGGCACTACTACCTCCTCTACCTACAGCTACTGCTGCTACTCTTGTTACGCTATCTGGCACCCATTCATCAGGCACAGCTTGCAAGCGATAGACCAAAGGAGTCGTACTCAGTCTATCAACCCCGTCAACGCGTGGCTTGGCCACCTCCGGTTCTCCAGCGACCCCGTACCCAGTATATGGACTGTAGTACTCCCACGCCACTTGGCCCTCGGCCGTAACTTGGAACAGACGACCGTTCATACCCTCAGCAATAAATGTATTGCCATTTGGCAGACGCTGTGCATTGCTCACAAACGAGCTGAAGAAATTCCAGGGTGGTAATCCAGAGTCTTCAGCCGTGTATTGCCATACGATCTGCTTGGTGATCAAGTCAATCTCGAGAATGCGAGAGCCAGCGTAGATTCCTAGCGCTGCCGGAGGGTAACCAGCGCCACCCTGGTTGTCGAAAACTAAAAGATTGCCCTCCCCAGGAAGACCAGGAGGTATGATATGTGGGTTATGCTGGCCTGATATTTGATCTAATGGACGCGGGACATTGTGTCGCAGGATGCGTTGATGCTGATCGCCAGACTGTTCGTCAAAATAGGGTCCTAACCGCCAAACGACATGGCCTGTAGCCTTATCGATAATGGCGACGATGTTTGCTTTGCGGAAGCTGATTATGATGTTGTCTGGGTGAAATATTGAGCTTGCCTCCGGGTCTTTGTCGTACGATTTGTTCGGCCCCAGCGTCGACGCGCTGTTCATTTCCAAACATCCCCACGGATTCCCAGGATCCCGTGCGACAGCCTCGCGCAGCAACTCAATCCCTGGATCTGAGAGTCCTAGCTCGGAAATATGATCGCCAGAACTCCATCTCCATACCACATTCCCGTCGGGATTCACTTCGACCAGACCCTGGTCTCCAGTCACATGCGGACCAAGGCTATCCACCACCCTAGGCACAGTCACCAGTATAAGCCAGTTGCCATTAGGAAGCAATTGCCAGTCATGATTTTGACGTGCTGCACCACCAAGAGCCTTATTTCCCCATTCCCAAACCCGCTCTCCGTTCCAGTCTAGCTGGCCAATTGTGCCATTGGCATAGATGCCACCGCGTGGGTCGCCGCTTTCAGATAGCTGAAGACCTACGTTGCCCTTCTGTCCTCCTATCAGGACTGGATCAAGCACTCTCGGGGGGACGCCGGGGAATGACCATTGATGAACGACGGTACCATTAAGATCGATGAGCCGCGTCACCGAATCAGCACCCGTGAAGAGAATTAAGGTATCATAAGCACGTTCTGGGTCGGAGTAAGTCACTCCTGTGAGGCGCACGTAACCCATTGCTATTTCGTTCTTGCTATTCTGACGATGCGTACTGAAGCAAAAAGAAGAATAAAATACTAAACAGTCAGGCGATGTCGGTTACTTCGCTAATTAATACTGGAGATCAAGCTTCAGCCAAGTCCTCGAATCCACGATGCCATCTTGTATTGCGACATATCGGGTAGAATGGTGTGCCACGAAGACCAAAAAGTGAAAAGAAAAATGGCATGGAGATGTACATACAGACAAGCAAAAGCAAAATCCACGGACCTACTTGATAAAGTTTGGCCAAGTCTTCAAACTTTCATGGTGGTTTTGATTTTCTCTTATATTGCAACATATCGGACACAATTGCGTGCAAACCTATGAACACGCAAACAACCTCAGATATGAATGAGAAAATTCAGAAAGATTACTAATTTGCTGCATGTGTAATTCATGGACAGCATATAAAATGGATTTAACCTAGTATAAATATCCACGCCGCCGACGATGGAAAATATCCTCTGCAGACTTGACTCGCCATGGCAGTATATTCAGACCCCGAGAAAGGAGCAGCCCTGTCCGAGGCAGAAGATGGCTCCGACGTCTTTGATACTCTTGCGGCCCAAGAGAAGTCCCGTGATATCAAGTATCGGACCATGTCATGGCAGCGATGTGCCGTGCTTCTTTTCGGAGACCAAGTATGCCTTGCCATCATGGCCCAGGCGTGGACATTGAAGGTACTTGGATGGGTTCCCGGTCTGATTGCATCGATTCTCTCGGGAATCTTCTGCTGGATCACCAGCTATACTATGTGGCGGTTCATCATGAAGGTGAGGTCGTCAATCCATCGATGCGCCTATGGACTTTACGCTCATATCGACTTTTTAGCATCCCCATGTGCGCGACGTGTGCGATATAGGTTATCTCCTTTTTGGCCGCAATCGCATTGCTTACTACGGCACTATGGTTGGCCTGGTTCTGTACAACGTCGTGCTTTGCGGATTCCACGTCCTGACCGGCGCTCAGGTCTTGAACACAGTGACAGGCCATTCTCTATGCTCTATCGATTTTGGCATCATTGTTACCCTCATTGCAATCGTGCTCTCCTTGCCGCGCACGCTCAGTCATGTCAGCCTCATCTCGATTGGCAGCGCAATCTGCATGGCACTCGCCATCCTCCTGTTCATGATCTACGCAGGAAAGGAAGACTACCCGGCTCAGTACCCTGCTCTCGGCCCCGTGAAGACATATGCCTTTCCGCAAGAGGGTACTACCTGGGTGGACTGCCTCAATGCTGTCCTCAACGTAGCCTTCCTGTGGTTTGCGCAGATTCTCTACCCAACTTTCATCGCGGAGATGCGCCAACCGCGTGATTTCCCCAAGGCCCTTGCGGCATTCTCGATCGCTTCCTTCATTCTCTTTATTGTCCCTGCTGTGGTCGGCTTCTACTACCTCGGCTAATACGCTGAAGCGCCTGCATTCGGAGCTCTGCAGGAACACTACAAGCAAGTCTCGTACGGCCCTGTCATCGTACCCACCGTTGTCATAGGTACCATATACGCTAATGTATCCGTGAAATTCATCTATCGCCTCGTGATGCGAGACTCGCACCACCAGCATACTCACACGGTAATCGGATGGGGTGTTTGGATCCTTCTAATGGTAATCTTCTGGTTCGTTGCATTCATCTTTGCCGAGGTCATTCCCAGCATGGGCGACTTTGGCAACATACTCGGCGCCTTATTCGACTCCCAGTTCGGCCTTGTCTTCTGGGCAGTGGCTTACTGGCACCTGTTTCACGGCCGGTTTTGGGCAACGCCCTTGCGCTCGCTTCTTACCATCGTTCATATTGGAGTATTTTTATCCGGCTTGTTTCTTTTCGGGCCTGGTCTTTATGCCGCCATTGAGGCTATAATGGCGGATTATGCGGATTCCGTACGGTCTCCTTTCTCATGTGCCAATCTTTCTCTGTAAAATCTACATATATGAACCGTGTATATGCTTGAGATCGTCATTTTTCTAGAGGTCCTTCGTTAAAGCCTCTATGTGTATCAGACATGGTATAGTATTCATCAAACCTTGTTGTGGGTTTTGTGAGTAGAGTTAGGGCTAACACCTATAACTCTAAGAACCTCCTGAAGCAGGCTGAATTACTGTGCAATAGACTTAGATTGTTCCAACGCTTGGGCTGACCCTAAATCTTGGACTCGAATAGTTTGCTCAGAAAGGCAGGTTTAATCATTTCCAAAGTTAGACCAAGAGCTACTAGAAAATCTTATTAGTGCATTATCGTAACACCATACGAGATAAAGCTGTCTAGACATGACCCCAGGGGCCCAAAATGTTATTGTAAGTCTATACCAATTCACGGTAATATGATGATGCGCTGGCAAGAATTCAACAACTCAACAAACAATGCATGGCCAAAAGCAGGCGCTAATAAACATCATATAAAAAGAAGAAATCCAAATACATAAACGCCGTTTCATATCATGACCCTTCGAAATGCAGCCTCCTGAAATCATTGCGTGAGAAAAGAAAGAAAAGAAAACCCCCATCGTGTAACACGAAGACACAGCTGTCCAGCTGATTTCTCGATTTGCGTACTTACCTTCTCCTTGTATAAATGTCGTGTGTGTTGAAGATGTTATGTTCGTTCGTCAATCGATTTCAATTCGTGTCGTTTCCCATGATTTTGATCACTCGCCTTTTACTTCTTTTTCAAGGTCCTTCTATTTAATTTACCTTCCTTCTATATTTGCATAACGCTAGACAAGTAAATGATTGAAATGCTAGAGCTTCGGGTTTGCTGGAAAACACATGCAACTCATCTTTGGGATCGTTTGCTTCGTGTGTTGCTTCATGGGATACAGCTGTGAAATTTTCGAAAAAAAATAGGTATAAGGGAGACAGATCACTGCTCTGTCGATTCCCGAATCCCCTTGCACTTTCCTTGAGCAATATGGGTGTTTCGTGCTGTAGTGCGTGTAAAAACCGCTCCGCAGTGTGGACACTCAGATTTCGCCGCTGCTCCAGACCGCTCTCGTTGATGTCGTAAAAGGTTGCTAAAGGTAGAAAATTCACGACCGTTGCAACCATGATCCCAACACTGGGGTTTCGGTCGTGACTCGAGTACGCGCACTTGACTTTCAGGCTCGGTAGGACTGACGTTTGTGCTGTTATTCGTGCTCATATAGGTCGCAGCTCTCATAGGAAGTCCAACATTGGACCCTGTCGTCGTAGGATACGTATTAGACCTGCAAGTTAATTATTCCAGGTTAGCAATACTTCCCCTTTCAGACAACTTGATCATATGTGGGCATCGAAAGCATGAATCGCAATGGGACCTTACGAAACAAAGGTTGTTTGAGGGAATTCATAACCGGGCTGATTGAATCCATATGGATTTGACCTAAACCCGTATACCATTAGCCATGTTTCATCATTTCCACTTTATAAATTCAATAACAGGGTCTCCTCACGTGGGATAGAATGCCTGTGACGGTTGCGGCTGTACAGGCTGCTGCAGGCCGAGTGGGTATGAGGTATTTGAGTATATGGTCGGTGGTGATGCGAGAGTAGCGTAGCCTTCTGGGGGAGTGAGAGACTCTTGCGGTCTTCGCTGATAGGGCTCCTCTGGTGTGCTCGATAACGAACGCTGGTAGTGAGACCATTGCGCTTGTTGAGAATGGAAACCACCATCCTGCCTATTTCCCTGAGGAAACATGTTCATTGAGTTTGATTGGGACAGAATGTCACTGGCAGCGCTGAGCGAAGATCCAGAATGTAAATTGATGTCTGGGGTGCCATACGCTATCCCATAGTCAGTCGTGCGAACCGCTCTGAAAAGACTCTTTTTTCCCCGGAAAAGGCATATGAATGGTCAGCGATTCGAGACAACTTACTGTGAATACTGGTATACATTGATCCCTCGTTCTTTATACTCAGTTGTCAAAGGGAAACCTGCCTAGCAGGTTTATTTGCGCACTTAATGTAAACAATGAATTTGGGGAATTCGTGTCATGGACCAACTAGACTGATCTAGCCGGAGAAAATGGGCAATCGCGTATTCTTTTGCAGGAGAGTTTGCTATTGTTGATGGTTGGGGAGGCGTTATTACTCGATCTATTTCCTCTTGAAATTGTCGTTATAGCTTATTATGTTCCGAGTCAGGTAGGCTATTTCGTGGCAAATGTGGTATTCTGATCTAGTGATAATGTTGAATTCTGGAAGTTATCGTCCTGAAATCTGTCATATTGTGAGTTTTCACTTGCGGAATAGGGCATGCAATTTTGTCGACATGACATAGATGGCAAAACCACGTTGAACTTGCATAGGTTGACATGGAAGAGGAGACGTACTTCGGGGCTCGAATATCGCGACTTTGGTGGTGTAGTCTTTGTGTTGAAACAATAAACAATGCTTCTAGAAAGAAAAGAAGCAAAGTACTAGAGGGCGAGGATTGCAACAGAAGTCCGGGGGAGGGTGATAGTTCTTAACCTCTCTGCCTCATATAGAAACCGAATCGGAGAGCGAGTAAGATTAACTAACCCCCACTACCGAGAAGGTTTTTTTTTTTTTTTTTTTTTCGAAAATAGATTTAAAGGGAAAAAAAAACACAACGTCACACTTTAGCCCACGTCTTTAAAGAAGGCTTCTAGAAAACTTGAAACGAAGCCAGCCAAGCAGCGCGCTAAGGCCGTCTGCAGTGAGTAGTCTACTAGACTGTACGTGGCTTTCGGGGGCGTTAGACGCAACAACATGGTATTGAATCAGTAAATAAGCGATTGTCAGAAAGACCATCCAATGGATGACCAGATATCGGGGGGAAAAGGTGGGTGGAATTTGTTTATTCCAGTCCGGTCCAATAGACAGCTGCGCAGCTCTCAGGGTACAATCCGTAAACACGGAATCCGGAAGTAATCTGACAATTGCACCTGGGCTGACTGTTAGTTAGCTAGCACTAATTTGTATGTCGCGAACGGAGGCTTTCTTAGTTCCAACTCCCAACCTTAGAGTACTAGTACGTAGTGGCAGTGCCAGATTAACGTAAGCCCCAACCGAGTGGGCATCTTTATGAGACGTCCCATGTTTATAGTGGCTAAAAAGACTTTTGCGAGTGACGGGTATAACAGGCTAATAGTGGTAGTAGCTGATTTTTGTTGGGGGCTACATGACCATTAGCCCTGGAAAGTGTCCATCATGTCAGAAGTGCTGTACGTACTTCATAAAGTGGTTGGCGAATCGGCGGGGAAAAGAAAACGAGCTGACACCATATATTAAATGAAAAAGTCAACTGAGCGAATAACATGACAGAACATACTTTAGCTTGCGATAGGCAATGTAGGTTTTTTTTTTTTTTTTTTTTTTTTTTCTCCAAATGGCAAGTGCTGACTTTGATTCATAAATTGAGGGTTGCTGCAGATTCGTATCCGGACTGGGCTAGCGGTGAGATTTACCCAGCAAAGCCAGTAATACCAATGAATGGCAACACGGCGTGGCCACTGATCATAGCGAAGAAATGTTGGCCTTGAATCATGCTGGCTTAAGCAGTTTCAGCCCCCACTGGGCCCTGGTCATGGCCTGAGATGGGTAAGAACTAAGAGTATGAACTAAAGTCTCGGGCTAGCGAGTCCCGCAATTGTCTGTTGCTGTTTTGGTCTGGCGCTGTCCACGAAGTCAACTAAGTTTGGGGAGTTATCTTGAATTTAGTCATGCCGCCTCGAGAGTCATGGGCTTAGTTACCGCTGTTTTAAGCTCTTGGGCTTCCTTGATATAGGCCACATCGGGCTGCAGATGGGATGATCTTCCGTGGCCGTGAAGGTGGATACTACCCGCGGTAAATGAAGATCTCATATGCAAGCCTGACACGGATGCGGTGGGCAATGGCATGGGAAGTGTTGGAGAAGAAGATGGAGTAGTGAGTGCACAAGCGCAGTCAGTGTGCGAAGTAGCATCTGCGCCTACGTCTTGAGGAGATGTCTGCGTCGTGTCGCGGGGGCGGGCATGATGAAGAAGGGCCGGTGAGTAAGCCGCCGACCCGGGATCACGTGCGTGTGCGATGCACATTGATCTGCATGACAAACTACTCCCTTTACTATCGTGTAAACTCGTCATATACTCGAGTATTTCGTCGACCTGGACTTGCGATATGCCAGCCTATATGCGATAGACAGACGTATACTTGCTTGGTATGTCACTATGCAATACTGTTTATACCTCATAATGTACGGAGTAATCTACAAAGTATATGTATGCGTAGCGTCAATACTCAACAATATTAGGTTTTACTGTGGGGATGTAATCATTCAGCGTCTATACTCCGTACTCCGGACTTTACAGAGTATTCCGTACAGAGCACGAGTAGGTATCAACTGCCGAAGACCATTAGATAAGGGAACTTGTAAATACCAAATAGATGGCTCGAGCTTTCGAAGGTCAGATCTTCTGAGCGGCTATCCACCTGGTCTTGATGTTAGATAGGCATTGTGATACAAGTCCGAACTGTTAACTATTAATTCTATGCCAGTTTTAGCTACATCCTCGTGTAAAAAGTGGACGACGTCGGCGACTTCCTTCAGGAAGGTGGACGGAGTACACCGTACGCCCAAGCTATAATAGGCTAGCGCCAACGTTAAAACAAACTCCGCTAAACTTAATATGTTATTTTAGACCGGCGCTAGAAGGTTGCGCAGAATTCCAGAATGGCGCTAAAAGCGGCCAAGCAATACCAACATGCAACCATAAGCCTAATATGGTAACGCGCGTGCACGAGGCAGGCCAATCAGGGTCTAGACTATAAACGACCCGTTAGTAGCCCCACCTAATATAATAATATCACGGGCAGCCCGTAACAGGCTCGCTTGTCTATGTTAGTGCAAACATACAAATGTCAACACAGCATGCATGTACGTCTTATGAAGTGGACCATGTCCTGGTAGATTTAAAATACTGAAGCAGAATATCATATCTCTAACCTTGAGTATGGAGCAGTTCGGCTTGTCGACTTCGTGATAACCTACCGTCCAGTTCGATAATTATCGACTTGTTTGACCTCGGGAGTCGGCCATAACCTTTCCTCTTTCAACCTAGCCCTCCCTTTAAGATCGATTCCAGATGGGGGCCAGGCACGAAGAAGTTGCGTTGTTCAACGGAATGCATTAGCATCATGCAACAACCCATGAAAAACCACGTTGCAAGACGCATTAGCCTACTAATCCTCCGTGACGGCTCTTAATCATGCATGTACTACGGAGTAATTTGGCATTGCTAATTGTTCTATCTCTTCCTCTGCCACTATGTCAATTCGGGCCAATAACTTATACGCAGGTCGATATGAGACATCAGAGCTGAGTACAAGGCCCGAGACTATATAAGCTTTCCAGGGCTGGATTTTGTTAGCTAAGGAAGCATCAAAAGTTTAAGGTATTGAATTCCTACAGTCTGAAATATTCCTCGGAAGAGTGTCTCTATTCTTCAAGGGCTGCACCCACAGAAGCGCTATCATAAGTCATGGCTTTTTGATCTGTCTTCTCGCGAGAAAATGCTTCATTGTACAAATTCCCTTCGGTTTTTGTCCTAGCCTAGACTTGTAGTTGTAGTCCACACTAGATCGAAATATGTTGAGCCGTCCATGTGAGATTTAAGCATATTCCTGTATGGAGACACCCTCACTCCTTGTGCTACTCGAGCCAAAACATTCCTATACCGGCTTATAAATAAAATTGTGCCTTATGGCACCCTTGCCGTATAGGGTCGGTGAGGAAGCATTTCCTAGTAATGAATGCTGAAGAAAAAAAATACGGTCTAGAGCTGCAACAGATATCTAGATCGATCATAATTGCCGGGATATACCCATTCCTAGCTACTGGGATTGAAAGTCACCGGTAGGTGTCTCCGTAGAATCTTTTCCAGCTAGTATTCTAACTACGCGTGTTCGTATCTAATCAGAGCAATTTTTTTCTATTCTAGGCCCACCTTAATCATCCAATAGTCATGTTTCATGCTTGGTGCTTTTTTGTCACTTGCATGGAAAATCAAAGTTTTGCAAATACATCCCACAGAAAAGAGCGGTATGACTATTTTCTTAACGATTAAGTCGAAGGCGAGAATGAGTCTACACTTTCTAACACGTTTAATATGCCACATACAGAAACACACTCTGAATCTATACCGAGGTTTAGCACGAATTATAATACCTCTTATCAAGCTTTCATAGTCCAGAATCGACTCATGAATTATAAATGATAATGGCTTAATACGTTGTCCAATTGTCCAATCCAAGGCCATCTCTAGGTCTATTTCGTCTGGGATTACACGGTGTTGACCTACACAAGTGCCGATAGCTTCTATTAGACTTGATTGCGAATCATAATAATCGTCCTTCAAAAAGGCGATCATGATCTTAATTTTGCATTTAGGATTGTCCGTTTATGAGATAAACGTATACTGACAATTGCCTGCGTACAAGGCGGCTGGCTCTCAGGATCTACTTCTTAGAACAGCTCCTGAAGCTGAGGTGATATTTAAAGTATAATGCAATAACAGATCAATAACAATCATACTTGCACGGCATTGCCCGGCCAAGCATCTGGGAAAGCAATGATGGATAGTAGCATATGCCGAACAATGTCTGAGGATATATCCGCAGTATTTTGATAAACATGGAGATCGTAAGCAGCACATTGTCGAAACGACTAACGGAAGAGATATAGTGATTTTTGTTTTCCCTGTTCCAAGTCTTCTTCCTGTGGTATCAAAAAGACAAAGTTAGCAAAAAGGGGTTGGAATCCATATTAGAAAGTACTGACTTTATGGTGAGCCCAATATCCTCCACAACTGATTGCTCCCATGCAATACTTTTCTTCTGCCTTTCAGAGAATGTACTCCCCTTTATTGAAGGTAAAGTTCCAGATAACAAATGTATGGGGGGGTGGTATTCCTTTTAGGAATCTCGATCATCTTAATGATGGTACTCTGGTTCCTGGAAACCCTGATCGCTATCATGGTGCACGTCCTGAGCAACTTGACCGTCAAATACGGATTAAGTTCATTGATCAAATTGTTCCAACCTCGCAACATGATCTCCCCATTGCATCAAATTTCTTCCTAGCAGCAAAAGGTCCTGATGGATCAGCATCAGTGGCTAAAAGGCAGGCATGCAATGACGGTGCATCAGGAGCAAGGGAATGCACTCGCTTCAAGTATATGGCAGCGATAAATTTGAATTTTATAATAGTGCTAGTACCCTAATGTCTATTTATCATAATGGGCAGCTCCAAATGTTTACCAATCATCCTTCGAAATCAGCTACATCAGATCGCACAGAGTACTGCATGACCCAGTTACGATCCTTTTCTATGACTGACTGTTATGACACATTCCGAGAAGGTGCGACCTGGTATCGGAATGGCAGGGACTGGGCAAAGGAGCAACGGGATAAAGCAATAAGGCGAGCAAACGAGAAAGCCACTCAGAACATCGTCGAATCCACTGCTTCAAATGAAATATCGAGTACGGAGTCAGTCGCGTCTATCACTGAGTAGCCCGGCACACATATACCCGAGACACATTCGGTGCAGTCGACATGCTCACTTTTGCCCAAACCAGCTTAAGAGAAGCAAAATAAGTCCGTCTAATGTGATAGTCTTCTCTACGCTGCTGCTCAAGGAGGACATCTTCATATTGTTCGGCTACTACTCGAAAAGGGAGCGGATGTCGATACTCAGGATGGAGATTACTCTGCAGGTTGCTACCAAAGTAGATCCAGATCTTATGTATTAACTATATTGCGGGGATTCTCTACTAATACTAGACCTAACCGAACTCCTAGAGATATAAAACCAAGCTGGAAATAGAATACAAGATTTCGAACTAGACATGTTAGTCAACATAATTTTATGAAGATCTTAGTCAACTTAATTGGTAACTAAGTATAGTTAGTTATAAAACAACACCAAGCACATTATGGATAGATCCTTACAGATCTCGAATTAGTGGCCATCCGAAGATTGGATAATTCTGGAAACCTGGAACTATCAAACCCAATTCTTCTAGGGAAGATATGTGGAAATGTATTGGGGCAATCGCGGCTTATTTGTTTTGCGAGCACTCTAGTATACTGGCATGCAGGACCAGGGCGAGGGCAGATGAAATATATAATACACTCCTAAAGGGCCCCATGAGCTTCTGGCAGTGTCTTACCTACTTGCTGTAGCCAAGCACGAAGCCCCTTCTGCTTCTCTTACTATCTTCAAGTTTATGTTGTTTGTTTTTGATGTTTGATGCTCCCCTCCTGCTTCTGATTCTGTATTCTGTCTTCGAGTTTGTTGTTTGATATTGTGTGATGGTCCTTTCTACTTTAGCAAGGGCTCTCTGGAAAGCAGGATTCTATTTTTTTTTAACAAGAGTCTTTCCTTCATATAAGGATTTTTAAGATTCTGTTGAGCAACAGGTAGGCGTCCGGAGTTGTATAGTTCAGTGGCCCCCATTGGGTACACTAAATGGGGTAGCACGTGCCTGAGAGATCATGTGGACTGCTTCCTGAGGCAGATTTCCATAGGGCTCGGGAAAGTCGGAGTTGGATTCGTGTCTCACCTGGTTCTGGAAAAACAGTGTGTCCTTCGCCAGAGGAGTCAGGCGAGTGAGTATAGCAAGTACCTGATCCAAATCAACAAGAAGAGGGGTTCAAGAACGACAATGTAGCATGTACAGTACCTACGTGGCATGGGCTGTGTTTAAGCTAGCATGGATGCCTAAGGCTAGCTTCCGCGTACTAAATGCGCCTAGTGCGGGTGCCGGTGCGTCATTCCGTTGTATCAGAACTGAACTGGACAACCCCTCGTTCTCGCACTGCTTACCCCCTCCAAACCAGATCCCTGAGGCGTGTGAGTGTTTGCCTTGGAAAGACAGGCATCGCGTATAGACAGGTGGGTGGTTTATTTCATTTTTTCCAGGAACACGGGGTTTGCTCACGCTTTCTGTCCCGTGATTCCACTGTTTTGGTTCGCGCGCGCCGGACCAACTCGCTTGGAAAGCACATGTCTGTTTCAAGCGACCAGGTCTGCCTGGATTAAAAACACCTGACGTCAAACAAAAACTGCAACCATCTTTAGTGTCGACGCTCTATTGGCAATATGGAATCTATCTGTCTCTCCGAGGCAGCCGTCTCTGTTCCGGCGATGAACTCCAAGAGAGAAGAAAAGCGAGATTATTTTTTAACTGATTGATCAGTGTGATAGCATAGATTTTCCGATTCTTGCCACTTGATTAGCCTTTTTGGCCCGCGAATACACCGACATGAGCATCTCCTTTGTCGAGGACCTCTGGTCCAGCGTGTTCACACCGGGGCCAACACAAAGCTTACTCGTGGCCACCAATGCGACCTTTGCGGCGCTCCAGCTTGTTTTGTTCCTGCTGCTCGTTGCGACGTACAGTGTACATTTCGTCATTCTTTCGATCCTCTCGGGAGCGCTGTGGTGGGCCATCAATTGGTTTGCCATGGAAGTGCGAGCAGTCCAAGCGCGTCAGGAGGAAGAGAAAAGACAGCAGGATGCTATTGCTGAAAAGGATAAATCCAGGTCGAGCAGCAGGATCAATACCTCCGCGGATGCAAATGATTCCGACACGGAAACAGAAGTTGGAGGAGTGTCAAGGACTAGAAGACGTCGGCCCGACGCAGCAAATCCAACTTCTGCTGTTGAATCCAACAAATCCAGCGACGATGACCAGCACAGCCAGAAGAAGGGCGTCCAAGGAGAGAGCTCAGGCTATACAAGCACTGATAGTGAATGGGAGAAAGTGGATAAAGACAAGTCGGCATGATGATCCAATAGATTTAGCTACGATTGGGCCTCAACGTCTATTTCGTTACATGTATTGCCGCACGAGGCTGGTACCTTTATACCCTCATCGCAATTTTCTTTTTGATTTGATGTATATCGTTCATATAAGATTTTCCTGAATTCAAGATCCAGCAGCCGAAGATATATCGGTGATGACATAGAATGTGAGATGGATTTTTTTTATAAAAGAAGAGGGGGCAAAACTGCGATCATACTTAAGATCTGCTTGCCACGCAGTAGACATTGTAAATACTGAAAGTTGTCTACGAAGACAAGCCCATGCTTGCTGGGAGTTCGGCACGTGACCACGCGAGCGCCTTCCACGCGCTTTGTCCAAAAAGGAATCAGTAGCTTCCTTCCGTGGAATATCAAGTCAACAAGTCAGTCATTGTGGCCATGGAAAACCATGAACAAAAACCTACCAAATAAAAGGTCTTAGCAGGAGCAACAGATATGCAACTGGCGAAATGTTCCAAAACGCTTCTCTTGCCAGGAGCCGCAAGCGCGTCTTCAACTCCGTGTTCGCGCCCGTCACCTTGACGGAAAATGCTCCCACTCCTCTAGCCACGCCAGCACTTGGTTCCAGCGCTCCAGGTCAAGCATTCGGGTCTCGGGCTTTACCAGAGGCAGTCAGTAACGTCAGAATCAATGAAGCAGAACCGGAGCCTGAAGGGATCATTTGGAGCCGAGTGTGGCATTCCGCAACCGAGTTTCTCGCACTGCCTGATTGGACCTATGAAACGCTTTCCAGCTTTGTCGAACATGCTACATCTTTTTCATTGCAACCGAAACATATCACGCCGGAGATAGAAAGGTCTCTGTCCCATTTATTAAATCAGCACCAGCAAATCAAGGAATATGATCTTGTCGACTGGTATTGCAATGAGCTACGTCGTCATTTTATAACTAATCTACGCGCTGTTCTTGGGGCTGTAGGTGTTCGCAACAGTTTTGCAAAATGTTATAGCGCATGCATGCCACTAACGTTATACCATAGGCCCTGGAAACAAGCCCCGAAGATGAGTCTCTTGCCGAGACAGTGCGCTGCTTACAACTGGCACAGCACATGTATTTTACGCCATTCTTGAATCATGTGGCGCCAAAATTGGACACAACGGAGCGTGACACATCGTTTTTAAAGCTTCGAGAGAGTTTTCAGGCCATTGTTGCGCATTCGCTATCGTCTAGTCGCATATCAAATGCCTTGGAGATAGCCCTTCTGAAAGATGCTTCTATCGTATTAGGAATCTCGCAGGCGAGGAATGACCAGGGAGATGAAAATGAATCAACCGGCCATGAAAACGACATGGAGATTGACGCACAAGTCTCCACCTCATATAGACGCTGGAGAGACATCCCGTCTGAGGCTACTCGCATTCAGATCATGGCTGAGCAGGAAGACAGCCAGCTGAGCGAGTCTAGACACAAAATTCTTTCGATACTACAGGCTATGCAAGATGTCGGAATCGGTGGTCACCGAGCGCAGAAAGTATTCGCCCGGGTAATGAATGATATGATGACTGAATTCATAGTGGTAAGCTATAAAGAACAGTGGCGCTCACCGTCTCTAGTTGTGCAACATTTACGGCTATGGGTGGAAAATGTCTTTGCAAGACTAGCTGTCGAAGTGCTGGCCATTCTTCAGCCGTCTTCCTTGGGCAATATTGATGAACAGTTGGACAATGTTCGTCTAGATGATGTGGAAAAGTGGCAAGAGATTGCGATTGCCCGCCTTGGTGCTCTGCGTACCAGTGAGCTTTTTGATGTGATCGTCGACTGGGACTCCAGTAGTGGTGCGATTGAAGACCTTAAACATTACACAACACACACTGCCTCAAGGTATTCACTGGCGACTACATTCATCAGTATGCTCATTCAGCGCTTACTCCACCCTGGAGCGTCCACCGTCCAAATTCTGCAGCTCTATATCTCCATTATTCGAGCATTCAACCTTCTAGACCCAAAGGGCGTTCTGCTTGACCGGGCAGCTCGACCCATTAGAAAATACCTTCGAGACCGCGATGACACAATTAAAGCCATTGTTGGCGGACTTCTCGCAGACAACACGAGCAATGAAACAGGGTCGAATACAGAATTTGGTGAGACATTGGTAGAACTTTCAACAGAACTCAACAACGCTCATCAACGAAGCGTCCAGAACGATACTGGCGAGCTGGATTGGGATGATATGAACTGGATGCCAGATCCCGTGGATGCGGCTGCGGATTACAAGAGATCCAAAGGTGCAGACGTTGTCGGCAGTTTGATTAGTCTCTTTGAGTCCAAGGAGGCATTCGTGAAAGAGCTCCAGAACATGCTATCAGAGCGATTGCTTAAAAAGAAAGCGGACTTTGATCAGGAACGATCGGTTTTGGAATTGTTGAAAATACGATTTGGCGACGGTGCACTGCAGGCCTGCGAAGTCATGCTTCGCGATGTCGTTGATTCCAAACGCGTCGATACTATTATTCGAAACGACCAAAAGTCAGGAACCGTAGCAGATGCGTTAGGGCAAACCGAGAATACACCGCAGCTGCATGCCAAGATCCTGTCACGATTTTTCTGGCCGGACATTCAAGACCAGCCATTCAACGTACCTGAAGAGATCGATAGGTTACAGCAGCGGTATTCCGACGGTTTTGAATCTCTCAAACAGTCTCGCAAACTGAAATGGTTTAATGCGCTTGGCCAGGTCACCGTTGAATTAGACCTTGAAGATCGAGTATTCACGGATGAAGTTACAACGTGGCAGGCTACCGTGATCTACGCCTTTCAGTCCGAGACACCCAGCTCTAGTTCCAATGAGCCGGTCACAAAGACTGTGATGGAACTTGCAAAGACGCTGAACATGTCTGCTTCTCTGGTACGTAGCGCTTGCCTCTTCTGGGTAAGCAAGCGGATCCTCAGTGAGGTACAACGGGATTCTTTCCGCGTGCTTGAGGTGCTCCCCAGCGACGATGATCATGAAATGACTACCGGCGACGAACAGGAAGCTATCAGCGCATCCGCAGCCGAAGCCAATGCTGCAGCGGCAGCAAAAGAAACAGCCAATGCGGCGGCCATGGAAAAAATGAACCTTTACTGGCAATTCATCGTGGGCATGTTGACGAATCAAGGCGCTATGCCTCTGCAACGAATTATCATGATGCTCAAGATCGTAGTACCGGGGGGCTTTCCTTTTGGGAACGAAGAACTGCGGGAGTTCCTTGCCGGCATGGTGGCACAGGGCAAGCTGGAGATTGTTGGTGGGGGGAACTACAAGATCGTGCGGTGATCCAGCCAACGTCTGTTGTCTCGCTAGCCTCAATGAATACAACCTCTATCTATTTGACGTATCAAATCTATTTCAGAGTAGAACTGTGAAAAACTTGTGCCAAAACTTTTATAAAAGCTCAACGGGGGTAGAGATCAACCCCACGCACATATACTCTTAAAGACATTTCAAGAAGCCATTTACTACTTAGGTATCATGTTGTATCTCTGCCTCCCTCCCCTACCGAACGCCCTTGCAACCTACTAAACAACCGAGATGCACAATAAACATGCAACGCCCAAAACCAAGTCATCTTCGTTTCCCCCCCTTTTCCCTTTTCCCCCTGTTCTTCCTCTTGAGGTCCTTTTCCGCTTGCAATTCCCTCTTCTTCTGTTCCTCCTCTTCTCCCTCTTGCCAAAGCTGGTGCAACTGGTCGAATTCGGAGATTTTCGCGGTGATCTTCTCACTGATTGTCTTGCCTTCAGATACCCAAAGCTGCATGATCTCATCGCAAAGTTTCTGCATATTCGAAATCTCTGATTGATGATGGCTACTTTTGGTGTAAGCAAAGAGGTGATAGACATTACCTCTGAGATTTACGTATTGAAGAATCTTCTTTGGCGCTTCCTTGAAGTGCAAGTCGTATCCTTCCGGGGTGATGCCATATGTTATCATGAATCCTACACACGCATCAAGCATGTCTTTGTCGTAACCTGGCACAGTGAGAACGTATCGATGGAACTCGACGTCTGCGCCATGGACTTCGCAATTCCTCTCTTGTCGATATGCGTAGTAACGTTGCTTTTGTGTGGTTCTGCCGATGAGCTCACTCATATCATTGCGTATCCGTGCCCCGTGTAGCATGGCCAATTCATTTTTGAAATTCTTCTCCTGATCGCTGAATCTCGCGCCATATTCGGCCTTCTGATCAGCCAATTCCGCCTTCAGGGACTTGATCTCGTGGAAAATGTCAAAGCCCCCTGAATTACCGATCATCCTGGGCTCATCTAGTGACAGGCGTAACGGTTCCGTTTCAAGTTTCTGTCGTGCTTGCATCTCTAGTTCGGAAGACGACATGCCGGTCGTGTAGTTTAGATTCGTGGCGAGCAAGAGAGACAGGTACTAACGTATTTATACCAGTTAGCAAGACAGTCCTTCGAAACAAGTTTCCAGTCTTTTGTTAGTTATGAAACTCACAGCCTCCATTTTCGCGGCATGGCCCGCATGGAGGAGCGAAGCCATGGGAATCAAAGAGGCGTCCTGAGCTCAACAACTTAAGGATTTGAGGAGAGGGTAAGATAGTTCAGATGGCAGTGGTATGTATTCATGCAGTGCGCTTCTACCAATCTTATATAGACAGAAATGTTATGAATCTAGCATTTAGAAGAGTAGTAAGCACCTAGGTCTTTATTCGGAATATGCTGGAAATCAAACATATTTCATTATCTGGGGTTAGCTCTAGAGCCATACTGGGGGTATAGATGATTGCTTAGATGCGCAGTAACCTACCAAGTCCTTTATTTGGATACTACACATCAAAAAAAGTTCATTATCTAGGGCTAGCTCTAAGCCGTACTGGAGGGATAGATGATTTACCTTTGTCTGGATAATGCAAATCAAACAGAGACGGAATAGCCGTCTAGGAGTAGGGAAACGTTTCATCTAAGCAAGGTCAAAGCCAGATCATTGTTGATTCCGAGACACTTTGAAGAATGTGAAATCTTGAGCCTTTTATCTCTTTTTCTCTATATGCATGCTCTCTGAAAGACCATGGCACACAAATCTTTACCAGCTTGAGGGTTTTCATTGCTACATAGCCATTGACATATCCATGCGCAATCGGGCATTAATGAAGGGATTCCCTGTAGACTCTCCTATGTGGCTTTCCAACAGAGCTTCTAGGATAAACAGGGTAACTTACAATATTTCCCAATTAGGTAAGCGTTAGATATAAACTACATAATAACACTCATGTTATAGTAAAAGATAACGTGCTAGGTAGTAATGCTCTATACTCGACAGTTAAATAAATAAATAAATAAATAAATAAACAGATAAAAAAATAAGAAGTAGCCACATCTGATGCAATCATCGCGTCTGATCGCCTGTTGTTATCACGGGACCCGTTTCCGCTCTCAGCCAAGTTGCGGCCTTATCTTGCCTGAATTCGAGTTCAAAGCATCATTTCTTCATTTCTTCTTCCTTCTGTCTCTGAACACCAGCCCATGCCAGTCTCCAGTTGCATGTTCACAGCATAGCCCGCGCGCGACTGGAGAGTGTTCGCCGGCCTTACATATACATAGTCTTATCGTTATCACGGTCGTCAACGTCATGGCATTCCGATTGCCCACTCAGGCTCCCCCTCGACGACTAACCCTAACGTCTGAACCTGCGATCCATACGCCTCAACACCTCGAGCCAAACGATAATAACGACGATGAGGCCAAAGAATGGATCCTCTTCTCCCCCTCTCAAGCCGCCTCTCATACCACGCGCACTCGGAGCGACTCCACCGAACGAACCGCCCGCACCGCTGGCCAGTCCCGACTGAGTGATTTCGGATCATTCAATGCGATCACACACGATAACTCGGGCGACAATCCTTCAGTCGACGTGCTTGATGAGGAGGCCACCGAGCTAGACAGCTTGGACGACGGCCTACACGATTTCCGCGATGGCAACTATCCCGTGCTGCCGACTCATGATGGCCTGGGCTCGTTCCTGGCATCAGGCCAACAGACCCAAGAACAACTCTGGAGATACGAGCAGTACAACCCACAGCGCACAGCAGTACATGCTACGCCAACGCGCCGTTCAAGTCTGCAGAACCACCTGGAAGCCGTGGATGAACAGGAGTCGCGGGCTGATCGAGAGCGGTGGCAGCGGATTGAGAGGTGGAGGACAGAACAGAGCAGAATCTTGTTGCAGGAGATTGAGCGTGAGACAAGACGGCATCAGCGACGTAGTAGCCGCAGCACCTCCCGAAGGTCCAGGAACGATATCTTAGATAGTATTTCAGAGACGAAGGCTATGGAAAATACGTCGAGCATATCTTCTTCATCGCAAGGCGATTCGCCCAAAGAATCCATCTGGCGCCGCATAACCAGAAAGGTTATTCGCGATCTGATAGGAATAGATGATTCGTTACTCTCTATTATTCTGGGAGAGTCATTGGTTGACGATGTCCATCTGACCTCGTACATAGATGATGACTCGCACCCCGATATTCGTGAAATGCAAGAAGCGATCAGAGATGTCCCCGAAACACCAATCCATGCCGATGGCAATCATACATGGCAGGAACAGCTCATCCAACGGATTGCACGCGAACTCGGTGTTCTGGTTCATCAAATCTGGGAACATCCGGGGGCATTTAGCTCTTATATGCGGTCGTCAGAGGAACCGACCGACTTTTACGCTGGGATTCCGGTGACAAGACCAGAATCAGCGCCGCGTTTTGGGATAGATTCATCTTCGCAGATAACACCCGAGGAAAACATGACATCTTCCGTTTCTTCGCCGCACTTTACTCCAACGCTCCAAGATCCGGCTACGGCAGATCTTGTCGCTCAATGGGGCATTGAAGATGACGAAATGGTACCAGGTGCTCAATCACAAAGCAATGGTTTATACGAGCCAGTATCAGCATCTACGCTTGCAGCGCAGGAATATGACTATTGGGAGCAAGACATAGACGTCACCATGATATTCCGCTACCTCAAGAATCGGTTCCGAAGGGATACTCCTACGATGACTACTGCAACTACTAATAGTGGCAATGGAAATACCACAGCAGGAGGCCATTCAACCCACAATGAAGACGAACAAGACACTTATTCCAGCCGGCGGGCAGCCGTCATCCGCCAGCATCATCCTCTAGTTGCGCGGGCTCATGCACGATCCCAAGCGCGGCAGTCAGGGGCAGCAGCAGCAGCAGGAGGAGGAGGAGGAGGAGGACTGCGAACGCAAATGCGGGCCGCGGGCATCTCAACGCCTACTTCTCCCATATCTCGTCATCGCTTTCGTCGACCGAGCTCCAGCTATGCCAGTCAGAGCACCAAGGTATCTGCTACCAGACGCACTGCTGCCCTGGGCAGTGGCTCCAGCCGTCATTATTGGGATATAGGAGGCAGTGTCGGCAGCAGCAGTGCTGCTGTATCTGTTGGCGGGCCTGCAGTTACTGGAGCTTGGGGAGAAGTGTAGTTCTGTTCTGTTTATGGTTTGTTTGTTTTTTTTTTTTACTGCAATAACCATGTTTCAATGTGTTTATGATGTTTCATGACAGTGATGGGCGGCGTTTAGTGTATTCCTTTGCAGCTGATTGCTGGCATATACATATAATTATAACTTGACGGGCTGGATGTGAGATATTCTGTACATTTCATCTACAAGCTACAATCTCCATATACCATACACCATATACCAGTGGACATATCTAGGTATTTCCTGCATGCCTCAACAATCGACACAAACCAGATCTGCAGGCGTAACTCCAATCCCGAGTTCACGCAGACTCCGGCATATCCCCCTATTTGCTTCTCACGTAGTACCATGCAGCACGGTGTTACACGAAGCTGTGGTCAAACTACGAGATTCATTGCCCCAGGTAGGTCGGACAACGACGAAGAGTTCGTATGACAAGTCATACTCGATGCAGCGGGGACCCGGATTTGTGTCTCTCTGTGCGTTGCGTGGGTTGAGCTGAATTCAGTCAGTCCCAACACTTAAAGCGCCTTGAACGCTGCTGTTCAGAAGGACGCAGAGTACATTGTTTCTTTATTCACTGTTAGATACCCACAACAAGACACATCAAGACAATGCTCCGGCTCATGACTTCCTCCCTCTTCCTCCTATCCTCACTCCTCATCTCTCTCACCCAGGCACAATGCAACTCGACTCGCACCGCCAGCACAACCTCACCAACCCCCAGCAGCCTCACAATCGACGTGCAAGTCGGCCTAAACGGACTCACCTTCTCGCCGCCGATCCTCACAGCCGCGCAGGGCTCGACAATCAACTTCCATTTTGACCCGCGGAATCACTCCGTCGCCGAATCGCGCTTTGCATCTCCCTGCCAGTACGTCGACGGCGGGATATGGTCTGGCTATGTCCCGACGAGCCGCGGTGTAGCTGTATGTCTCTATATACCCTATTCCATACAATAATAAGGCTTAGAGACAAAGTGCTGATTGACGTATCCATCAAACAGCCCAATATCTTCAGCATCACCCTCAACGACTCCAATGCCCACTGGCTCTACTGCTCGCAAGGCAGTCATTGTCAGGCCGGCATGGTCATGGTTATTAACCCTCCGTATGTTCCGTAACTATGATCACATGTAGCTATCATCTCCTTTGCTGATCCGGTTCGTTTTTTAGTGCCAATTCTCCAGATACCCTTCGAGCGTATACTTTGGCGGCTCATAACACGACGCAGAGCACGGATGGGAACGTCGTTAGTGGTGGGGTGATTGTGGGTAATTCTTCTTCGTCGTCGTCGTCGTCGTCCACAGCGAGTACTTCGTCTGCTTCCTCGTCGACAGCTTCTTCGTTGTCTTCGTCGTCGTCTTCTACTGGGGCTACGTCGACGAGCACGAGCTTGGCTGTTGGCAATGCTCCTAGTGGATGGTTGGGTGTGGCTGTTCTGGGCGTGATGTGGGTGGTCTCCAGGTTGTGATATGGTTTGAAAGGTAAACATGAGGCGGTGCGGGAAATCAAACAGTTACTTGTGACTTATGCTATGGAGGACGTAATTGCATTTCTCATACATACAGAGAGCTAATTTACTTCCTCCGATCTGAATCCCTTAAAGAACTCCGTCGAAAAGACCAAATGGGTAATAACACGAACTAATCAATTCAAATTCCTGATGCTAACAAAAGTTTCTCTTTTTTTTTTAAGGAAAAAAAAAAAAAATGCTCTAAGCTTGGGAAACGTTCTCATAAGCCTCAGGGAATCGCTTGATGTTCTGGGCGACAGATCCGTGGCTGCGCAAGAACTGAACGTAGGCACCGTCGATCTTGACACGGCCCTCCTGGCGGAGACGGACGTACTCCTCACGGCGGAGAGGGGTGAAGCCCCAGTTCTTGGAAATGATGATCTTTTGGCGACCGGGGAACTTGTACATGGCACGGCGGAGAGCCTCGACGGCGGTGGCACGGTGGGCGTCACGGGTACGGACGGACAGAAGGATCTGGCCAATGTTCACACGGGCAACGGAACCGTTGGGCTTACCGAAAGCACCACGCATACCGGTTTGCAGACGATCGGCACCAGCGCACGACAACATCTTGTTGATACGGACAACGTGGAAGGGGTGGGCGCGCACGCGAAGGTGGAAACCTTCCTTACCAGCGACCTTGACGAGGTACCTACGACCCGTTAGTCAATTTTCCCCCAAAGACTTATTAAATATCGAACTCAAACGTACTTGTTGGCGCAAATACGGGCAGCTTCGAGGGCCTCGGAGGTCAACTGTTCGTATTCGTTGGAGACCATGTGCACGCAGGTAGGGAAGTCATCGACGTTGGCCTTCTTACGTCCAAGATCGAAGATACGGATCTTTGGGTCGGGGACACCACGGTTGAACCGGGACTTGGGGTAAGGCTGGATTTGTGTTGTCAGTCAGGATGTTCAGATCAAGATAATGGCAATAACGACAACGCTACGCGCTCGTCGTGCAAGTAGTCGTCGCTTTCTGTAATCGAAGCCAACAACTTCTCGGCAGAGCCCCCACAATCCCAGACGTGCTGAGAAAAGAAAAATCAAACGCACCTTGTTCTTGCAGTAGCGGTAGCATCTCGCGGGACGACGGGCCATCTTGAATATGCGGTGGTGTAGTTACTGCACTTCCTGCGAACGGGCGATGTAAGTAGACTGGAGGTGGTTGTCGTTGTCGAGATGGACGGGGGTCAAGAGGGAAGTCTTTCGTCAAGTCTCCCTCCGGCTTTGATTTCAAAGCAAATCGCCGCTAGTGCATTTTCTGTGGCAAAGCCCTAAGCCCTAAGCCGGCCGCTGCCAGTCTCCGGCTGGACAGACACAGTATGAGTCATTCTGCGTCATTTGCTGCTGACTAGCTATCTGGTTATTTAGTTCATCGTGCGGTAGTTATGTACAATGGTATTAATAATTATAAATTGTTCAGTCTTTGCTTGACTCGTGCCTGTGAAATACGACTTCTTCAACGGCCGCAACATCCAGCGTCACGTGATGTCACAGTCGCTCGGCGCGGCTTTGCCCAGTTCGGACTAGCGTTTACTAAGCCGACGACAGCCCGGAGTATCGTTGATGCGGTCCTTGCCTCAGGCGCTCAGTTATCTGGAGTACAGCCACAGCCCATCGCTATTATTGTAAGCAAAACATATAACTAACTTAGTTAACTACCAACTAACTACGTCAGCTATACGCTTATAGTTTATTGCCAGCTGGAACTAGCTCATTGTCTCAGACGTGGCTGTGGCCGAGTGAGATGGCATTCATAGGATAGTCGGTCTCTATACTTACAGTATGGCTACAGCAGTCTGTGCATAACTGCAGACTAGACTACACAACCAATTCACGAGCAAGAATAACATAACTGTAAAAGCATAATAATCACAATCAAATGGCCACGACACGCCTCTATTTATATCTGCTGGACTGCGTTTGATGGAACGCTAACCAAACCGAAGCTTCAATAATCCATCCAGCCCGCATAAAATTAGGCGGCCCCTGCTTCCACCGCCATCAACGTCGCCGCTCCCCTTGTATCTTTATCCTTCCTTCGTCTTTGTCTCGGCATTCTCTCTTTCTTTTTCTCTTTTTGCCATTGTTGTTTCTTCTATTATAATAATAACCTGTGCTGTGGTATTTGCCACTTTGGTCTCTCCCGTTTCTCCGCTGGCCGGTTGATTGATCTTAGGCCGCCCTCCGAGCTTTAATAGCCTGCTCTATACCACCGTGCTGGATCCTGGACGTGTTTCGCTATGTCGACAACACCCAAGAAATCAGCAGGCGTCAACGGGACAACAGGGCCTAACAACAGGGCCACACCAGACAGAACTGCAGCGGCCAAGTCTTCGAATGGCCTCCAACGAACCCCCTCTGGCCGCGGTTCTCCCGTCTCCGCTCGTGCTGCAGCCCGCAAGCCTGGACGGTCAAACCTAAGTGTCTCCAATGTTCCCAAGATATCCAGCACAGGGACCTTTGACGACGATGCGCGAGCCCAGAATGCGGCTCTGATCGACGAGCTGAAGGAGCAGCTACAAAAGGCCGAGACGGCGTCGGAACAATATCAGAAACAACTTGGGGTTCTGCAGTCGCGCCTAGATGATGCTATTGCGGAACAGCAAAAGCTTGAGGACCTAGCGCACGAAAAGGATAGCAGTATCGAGGCTCTGAATGCCGAAATCCGCGACCATGCCCGTCAACTTCGCGACATGGAGCAAGCGCACGAGCAAGACCGGAATGCCATGTCGCGAGATAAGGAGCAGCAGGCAAATAGGGAGGAGGAATTGCAGGCAACCATTCAACGTTTGAAGGAGTCTCTTGCTCAGAAGGATATTCGCGGGAATTCCGACGGCGACAAGAATATTTCGAGATCCTGTAAGAAGTTACCCTCCATTTTTCTTGTCTCTTCCCTACGCTCCCATCAGTTGTGCTAATTGATTACCACAGCGAGTTTTCGGAATCGATCGTCGCCCGATGTTGATAGTGGACAGTTCGCACCGTCGTCCCAGATTGAGCGCAGCCCTTCGAGAAACAATGCCAAGCTTCTGTTGCAGAAAGATAAATTGATCGAGTCCCTGAGGCTGGAGCTTGCAGAATCCCAAATCAAACTCGTCGAAATGGAAAACCAGGGCGGGGGTCGGCAGCATGAACTTGAGCGAGAGCTCTTGGAGGCAAGAATGGCCAATGCGCGTCTGATGGAAGACAATGAAAGCTATCAACTGCTGCTCAGTGAGAAGACACTCAATGGCGATTTTACCAAGGGTGATTTCTTACAAGAGGCTCCTGCAGGAATGCCTCAAAGCATGAGCGGATCTCTCGCGGACGAACTCGAGTCTGTTGGCGAGGGTAACAGTAACAATGCGGAATTCCGCCGGCTCGAGGCTGAAGTGAAGACTCTCAAGGATCAGAACAAGGCCCTCACTCTCTATATCGAACGGATTATTGGCCGTTTGCTGCAGCACGAAGGGTTTGAGAAGATTTTGGACAAGAATGACGGTCCACTGCCAGATCCAGGTGCTTCATCATCCAAGACAGACAAGGAGCTGCCGCCGCCGCCGCCTGAGAAAGACGAGCCCTCTCTACTGCAACGCGCACGATCTGTTATAATGCCTGCCCAGGGGCCCCGTCCCCAGCCGAGGTCGCGACCCGTGAGCGTGATGCCGCCACCGACATCCGTTCCAACAGCTCATGAAAACCCGCAGACTGCGCCTAGCATCCCTCTAGGACGCTCCCAATCCGTCCGTGCGGGCCACCGCAGAACCCGTTCTGATCAAGTAGGCGATCCCTTGGCAGCGGCGGTTGTTGGACAAATGTACCGCGGTCTTTCGGGGACCCGAAGCCCATCGGGCGGGCCTTTGAGCCCGACCACCATCGGACCAGGCTCGCGACAGAGCGGGTTCTTTGGGCCTGGCTACATCGCTGGCGGAAGCCAGAGCCAGCGGGCCCCATCTCAAGGTAGTCAACCTGACCGCAAGCGGCTCAGCAGCTCCGACAGCCTCTCCAGCGATGCCAACGCGGAGGTGAGCTCTCTGGGAGCGACATCTACACCGCCCAGTCGATCTAGCAGCAGTATGAACAACTATACTGGCGCAGTGATGACGCAGAATCGATTGCGGCCTCTGCGACTCGTTCGGGAGAACCAAGAGCTGGAGAAGCCCTCTGAAGATGACGAGGCTGGTAATAAGCGAGCCAACAGAGCCAGTTGGATGGGCTGGTTCAATCGTCCAACTTCCAACCCTGCTCAGGAGGAAACCCCCAAACAGTGATGACTCTTATCTACTCCTATGTCTTAGTCCATTTGGGGTTCTCCCTTCCGCTCTAATGTTTTGTTTGCTGAAAGGGAGATTGAAGCAGCCACTTCCATTGCCTTGATCCGGTCATTTTTTTGCTCAATACCCACCAGTGTGATGAGAACATGTTTCTTTGAGATAATGTTGTTGCTGCTTGCTTCTTTTGTCAACTTTTATATATGAAATTTACGCTGCTGATGAGTTGACATACATGTCTGTCAATCCGTGTGTATGTTCTGTAGACGATACGACCTATATAGCGCCTAGCTAGTGCGCATGTTTAGTACGAACATCAAATCCAAAATTCTTCCATCGACAAGTGTCTTGATCTATCCCTATAATGTCGTCGTTGAGTTGAAGCGGAGGGCCAGCGACGGGCCAATCACGGAGCCTCACCTGCCCAGAGTTGGTAAGCGGCCACGTTATGGCGGGAAGCCAAACCTCCGCAGTCAATCAATCAATCAATCAATCAATCAACAAAACAACACGACATTGGATAACAAGACACCATGCCGGGCTCGCTCTCCCTCTTCACCGTCAATGCGGTCCTGATTATGTCTACGGACGACAGCTCTCGCATCTACGCCAAATACTTCTCCCCGCCGCACCCCCCAGCCGGCGTTGCTGCCAATTCCACCGACTATCCTGGCGCAAACCCTTACCCTACGGTGAAAGAGCAAAAGGCGTTTGAGAGCGGGCTGCTGGAGAAGACCAACAAACAGACCAACGACGTGATTCTGTACGACAACCGCATCGTCGTTTTCAAGGTCGAGAACGATGTCATGCTATACGTGATTGGCAGCGTGGACGAAAATGAGGTGCTGCTGTACAATGTGGTGGTGGCACTGCGAGATGCCTTGGGGATATTATTCAAGTGCGTGAACTATTTGTTTTTGTTTCATCTGCAGTTGACAGCTGGCTAACTTCGGTTTATGTAGAGGCGCTACCGACAAACGCACAATTATCGAGAACTACGACCTTGTCTCCCTCGCCATAGACGAAATTATCGACGACGGCATCATCCTCGAAACAGACCCAGTCCTCATCGCTTCGCGTGTCAGTCGTGCCCCTACAGCAGATGCCCCTAACATGAAGAATATCGATCTTTCAGAGCAAGGCTTGCTCAATGCATGGGAATTCGGCAGACGCAAACTGGCCGAGCAATTGCGGCAGGGTCTTTAATTTATGTTCTCTTTCTTCCTTTCTTCCTTTTGCTGAGATTCTGGGTTGCCGGATAGAAGTTGCTCGAATCCATCTTCTTATATCTTCTTTGTCATTGTTGGGATTGAAAATGGGATTGGCGTGTTCTTTTCGTTCTTTCTGTTCAGTAAACATATTATAGCTCTTGATGTTGTTTGCATTTCATTGTGATTCTTCTCCCGTTTCACCATCGCGGTTGCTTTCGACTTTTTCTACATGGCCGTGAAATCCGAGTGTTGAGGTGTTCACCGACAGAGTATGAAACACCAAGCATTGTAAATCAATTCATTGAACTCACTACATGGGTAATTCATGGGGTTATAAAAATGAATTTATTCATGGCTTTGACGGGGAATGCGCGGCTGCCCCGCATACGTCACAGTAAATGTGCGCCGGCTCCGAGTCATTCATTGATTCATTTTGTTCTCCTTCTGCAACAAAACATCTCCGTCACGTCCCAACTCTTTGTACAGACTCCTGTTACTCTTCGTTATACGGCTCTCTTCCTTCTCGTCTTCGCTGCAACACCGTTCACACAGCGGATAGTCTCGTCAGCGCAGATTCCAGAATGAAGCAGAGATTTTCGTCGGTCGATGTCAAAGTCATTAGCCAGGAGCTCAGGGCTGCAGTAATCGGTCTCCGAGTCTCAAATATATATGACCTCTCATCGGTGAGACAGATCCTACCCATCTTCGCGCGAAACGGCGCCTCTACCTAGGTATCTGACATGAGAACCAGCGCATTTTCCTCTTCAAACTAGCCAAACCAGACAACCGCAAACAACTCATCATCGACTCCGGATTCCGATGTCATTTAACCGAATACTCGCGAACTACAGCCACTGCGCCGTCTGGTTTCGTGAGCCGATTACGCAAATACCTGAAGACGCGGCGCATAACCGCGGTGAATCAGCTGGGCGCCGACAGGATTATCGATATCGTTTTCAGTGATGGGCTGTTTCATGTTTTTCTGGAATTCTTTGCCGGAGGCAATATCATCCTTACTGATGGGGACTACAAGATTCTAGCCCTCTTCCGTACCGTCACGGCCTCCGCTGGCGAACAATATGAAGTCAAGATAGGCATGGAGTATGCAGTTGAGAAGGCGCAATATTATAGAGGTGTCCCGCCAGTATCAGAAGAGAGACTGAGTGAGACAATTCAAAAAGTTGTCGAGGCAGAGAAAACATCAGCCGACAATAATGCGCAGAAAAAGTCCAAGAAAAAGGTGGATGTGTTTAGAAAGACGCTTGCAAATGGATTTCCTGAGTTCCCACCGCTTCTTTTGGAAGATGCCTTTGCTGCTACGGGATTCGACTCGAGTGTCACCTTAAATAAAGTCCTCGAAGATCAAGATCTTTTCCGAAAGGCTATGGACGTCCTGCGTGAAGCGGAATCGGTAATTGCGAAACTATCCAAAGAAGATACGACAAAGGGCTATATTGTTGCGAAAGAGCAGGCCAATAAGGCTTCAGACCTAGGTCAGTCTGCGGAAAGCTTGCTCTTCGATGATTTCCATCCTTTCAAGCCACGCCAATTCCAAGAAAAACCCGGGTACCGAATTATTGAATACGAAAACTTCAACAAGACAGTTGATGAGTACTTTTCCTCCATTGAGTCGCAGAAGTTAGAGTCTCGCTTGGCTGAACATGAAGAGAATGCGAAGAGGAAACTTGAAGCAGCCCGAGCTGACCACCAGAACCGAGCGGGTGCGCTAAAGCAAGTGCAAGAGTTACACATTCGCAAAGCACAGGCTATCCAGGCCAATATCTACCGTGTGCAAGAAGCTACAGATGCTGTCAATGGGCTTATAGCACAGGGAATGGATTGGGTGGAAATCGCTAGGCTGATAGAGATGGAGCAAACGAGGAACAATCCTGTTGCTCAGATCATAAAATTGCCCCTGAAGCTTCATGAGAACACCATCACCGTACTGCTGAATGAAGAAAGTACAGAGATGGATGAGGAAGAGGCCGAGGTTTCAGAATCCGAGCCGGAAGAATCGGACGACAGTGACTCCGAACTTGATAATGGACCGCAACGAAAGGGTACGGAAATTCTCGCTGTTGATATTGACTTGAGCTTGTCACCATGGTCGAACGCAACGCAATACTATGATCAGAAGAGAGTTGCAGCAGTAAAGGAACAGAAAACAATCCAGTCTTCCGAGAAAGCATTGAAAAGCCAAGAAAAGAAAGTCACAGAAGACCTGAAACGCCACCTCAAACAGGAGAAGCAGGTCCTTCGACCATCCAGAAAGCCATTCTGGTTTGAGAAGTACCTTTTCTTCATATCCTCAGACGGCTACCTTGTCCTCGGTGGTCGTGATTCACATCAAGTGGAGATACTGTATCGACGCTATCTGAAAAAGGGCGATGCCTTTGTGCATGCTGACCTCGACGGAGCCACTCCATTGATTGTGAAGAACAGAGAAAACACCCCGGATGCCCCTATTCCGCCTGGTACGCTGACACAGGCGGGCAGTATTTCCGTCGCTACATCGAAAGCGTGGGAGTCAAAGGCATTAATGCCAGCATGGTGGGTCTATGCGCATCAGATATCCAAGACGAACGAAAGAGGAGAGCTCTTAGCTTCTGGAGGCTTTGCGGTCAAGGGCGACAAGAACTTTTTAGCCCCCGGCCAGCCTGTGCTGGGATTTGCTGTTCTGTTTCAAATCGGCAAGGAGAGTATTCAGCATCACCGAAAACACCGCCTAGAAGAAGTACCTGAGGATGTTGCTGTAGGCGAAACTACGCAGGAAATTTCTTCAGATGTCCAGGAAGTAAGCTTCAGCAGTGCGATCGAGGAGGAAGCGGCCGACAAGAAAATCGACGTTGAGGAAGAAGGATCATCTTCAGAAAGCGAAAAGGACGCAGAAGAAGAGCCAACAACGAAGTCAAACCCGCTTCAATCCGCAGCCGAATCACATTCAGAAGACGAGGATACAGATATAAATGGCGAAGACCCTGAAACCACAACGGCCATCAATGACGAAGAACCACCTACAAATATCAACAACATCCCCCAGCCAGCCCGCAAGGCACCAACACCAAAGCTCACAACAAAGCAGACAACAGTCCGCGGCAAAAAAGGCAAAGCCAAGAAAGCAGCCCAAAAATACGCACACCAAGACGAAGAAGACCGCGAGCTCGCACTCCGTCTTCTCGGCGCCAACACCAAAGCCAACAAGTCATCCCAGTCCGCAGCGGCAGCAGAAGCCAAAGCGAAACGCGAAGCAGAGCTCGAAGCCCAAAAACGACGTCGTCGAGCCCAACACGAACGCGCCGCCGAAGCAGAGCGCAAACGACAAGAGCAATTCTTCAAGAATGCCGCCGCTGCTGGCGATGCCAACGACGTTGACGAAGCCTACGACGAAGAAACCATAAAAGCCGAAGCAGAAGATCTATCATGGCTCCCAGCCCTTATCGGCACGCCTCTTCCAGAAGATGAAGTTCTCGCGGCAATCCCCGTGGCCGCGCCCTGGTCAGCCGTTGCTCGGTTCAAGTATCGCGCCAAACTGCAAGCTGGGAATGTCAAGAAGGGGAAAGCTATCAAGGATATTCTAGGTCATTGGATTATTGAAGCCGGCGGTGGGCCACCTGGTACTGACAGCAGCAGCAACAACAGCAAAATCAGCAAGAAAGCCATTGCGGATGATATTGCGGAAGGTTTGGATCGTGCTACGGCGGAGCGGATGCGTGCTCGTGAGGCGGACTTGCTCAAGGGTTGGCGCGATGTTGAGGTTATGAATACTTTGCCTGTCGGTAAAGTTCGTATTGTCTCTGGTGGAGCTAGTGTTGCTGGTGGTGGGAAAGGAGGAGGAGGAGGAAAAGGAGGTAAAGGTGATAAAGGCAAAGGAGGAGCTCCAAAAGGAGGAAAAGGGGGGAAGAAGAAATAATTCTACACATTAATAGGACCAAGGCAAAAAGTACATAGAAATGCATGCCTCATCATAGAGCGAGCTACTCGAATCGTCTTACTATTAGAATGTCATCCCTCATATTTACAGATTATAAGAACACCAGACTCGATGTAACGCCATACCCGTTGACCCGATACTCCCAATGGTAATCCATATACCAAGTCTCGTTATTCAGTATTATAATGCATGTAGCACGTAAGAAATTTCGCCCGCTATAAAAGAAACATCATGTTGGCATCAGATCAATTTGAGGCAATGAAGTTGTGGTCGCTGTTGTAGTCGTGTTGCGTTTTCTGGTAGTATTCGGCCGACTATTGTTGTACCTGTTGCTTGAGGCTGTACCTCCTCGAGCTCCTCCTCCACTAGTCCTTCTTGACCGCTGGGAACCGGCGTTAGAAGCTCGTCTTGGAGCACTTGCGGTTCTCTTCTTTCCACCGGTACTGGTAGAAGTAGTAGATCCGCTACCAGTACGTTTGGCGCCCCCGCGGGCTCGACTGCGAGGCGCAGGAAAAGATCTGCTCGTTGTCTTTCTACCAGTGCTAGATACACCCTCCGGATCGGTCACTATATTGATATTAGCTGATCATACAACCTTTGCAAAATGGGGAGGTGGATTCGTGGCGTACGCTGAGTGCTAGGCACCCTAGCTAGTGGTGGTCTTCTGATGCTGTCCAGAGATGTATCAAAGTACTGGCTGGTAATGCTCTGATTGCTTGGTTCCATCTGTGAAAGAGAAAGGAAAATATCGTCATCGCTACCGTATTCGTCGTCACTGTCGAGGTTGATGACATTCGTATGGTTTGGGTCATGGATGACCTCGTTGTTTGCTCTCATGTCCAAAAGTAGTCGTTTGGAATTTCGAATGAGTTTCAAGAACTGAGCCCCAAAGAGCTCGACTTTCTCAGGGTCAATATCACGAATCTCACGCATTTTCCTTGTGTCTATGAATTCATATAGTTAGCACGCTCCTAAACACGGACGTCAAGGCTTTACAAAGGAGCAATGATTACCTTCAGGGAGACCAATCGCCATTTCTCGCAGTATAGCATCTGAAAAGGGCTGACTACGAAGGTGCTTCTCCATCATTATCTGTGACGGTTAGCCCAGACCCTCAAGATGTGATCAACTATTTAGGATGGCCTACCTTCTGACAGAGCTCCTTCGCGTTTGTCACGAAGTCTTCAACCACAATTTGTTGCATATCATCCAAATCAGCGAGCCGGTTATCCTGAATGATAGGAGGTCCCACTTCGGCCTTTTTGCGTCGATTCGATTTACCTGCTATGCGAACTGGTCCAAATCCATCGCTATCATCCTCGTCATCAAGCCCATGGGCAACACCACGCTTCGTCTTGGCTTTTGGCGCCGCTTTTCGACGTGAAGACTGGACAGGAGAAGGCACATTTGTGGATTGGGGATAATCCATGGATTCAGACGCACTAGTAGTACGGTTTGTACCACGAGAACTGCTACCAGATACGCGAACTTGCATCTCGAATGATTGATTTCCTGCAAGAAACTGGCTGGCTTTAGGACCCGTGAGGACATATCGGTGTGTAAACCCCGCTTTTGTCTTGGATATCTCTCGTAGAGCGTTCTCACCGACCAACTTGTAAAACAACCTTTCGATGTCCCCAAGTTCCAATTGGGAGCCAGCGCCAAACTGTGGCAGTTTAGAATGGTCTCCTTTCATCTTTTTGGGAGACCCGGCAAATATATCAATACAGTGCAATAGAGTCACATCCTCGTTCCGCTCAGTGAATACGCTGACAAGTTCAACCGCCCTCTTCGCATAAGTTGAAAAATCGACGGTCTCGAAGGTTGCATCTGTTTTGCAATTATCACACGTCCGATGACAGTCACTGGCGCGAAAAGACTCATTGAAGTAAGCTAGAATCTGTACCCTTCTACAATCACTTTGATTCTCGCAGAACTGTACAACGTTTCGTAACATTTGACGTTGACGATTCTTCTGTTGGTAGTCACCCTCTCCTTGTTCAATGAATCGCTTTTGCTGGACGGTGTCTTTGTAGCTGTAAAACAGGTAGCATCCGGAGCGCTTACCATCTCGCCCTGCGCGTCCAGTTTCCTGATAATAGCCTTCCAAACTCTTAGGGATTGTATAATGAATGACGAAACGCACATCTGGTTTGTCAATTCCCATGCCAAAGGCGATAGTTGCGACTATTACATCATATTTGCCGGATTGCCAGTCACGTTGGATGGAAGTCCGATCTTCTGATGGCATACCCGCATGGTAATGGGTTGCTTTGACTCTATATTCATTTGAAAGCTGCTCCGCGACTTTCTCACAATCTTTGCGGGATAAACAGTATACTATGCCTGCTTTTCCCCGGTATGAAGAATCAATGATATCTGCAATCTGCGAAATGATGTTCGGTGCAGATCCTCGCTTGGGCAAAACGTCATAAGTAAGATTTGGCCTGTTGAAACTTTGCGATAGTACATCGCAACCGGTCATTTTCAGATTCTGGATAACATCGATCTTCACATTCTCAGTTGCTGTCGCAGTCAGTGCCATCACAGGAACACCAGGGAAATCTGCACGAAAGGCTCCAAGTTCCTTATAGTCTGGACGGAAGTCATGACCCCACTGACTGACACAGTGAGCTTCGTCAATGACTAGACGAGCAAATTTCCCGTTGTCATGAAGCTTCTTCAAAGTATCACGCAAGGCCAGATTCTTGTTAATCATCTCTGGTGTGACATAGAGTAGCTCAAGTTCCCGCTCTGCAAGACTACTCTGGAGTGTCGACATAACCCATCTCTTATGCTCAGCACTTACATCTCCGTTAATATAATGTGCTTTTATTCTCAGCTTTTGCAGGTGTGCAACTTGGTCTTCCATCAAGCTCAGCAAGGGCGAGACCACAAGTGTGACCCCTTTGGTTTTGCCACTGTATATCACAGATGGCAATTGATAACAGAGGGATTTCCCTCCTCCCGTAGGCATCAGAACAAATGCGTCTTTGCCGCTAAGTGTCGCATTAATTGCTTCTAGTTGATTAGGCCGGAAGCCTTTCAAGTGAAACCGATCTCTCATCACTGTCTTAATATCCTTCGACCAAGGGAAAGACATCATAGAGCTTGAGTCAGGAGTCTTCTGCAAAGGCGGTTGGCGACCGATATTTCCAGACGTCTCGCCAAACACCTTGCGAGTTTCCGAGTGAGTCACTGGAGGTTCAAATTGCACCGCAGACAGATTGTTTTCTGCTTCAAAAAAGTCGTCATCCATTGCATCATCGAAATCGAAATCATCTGCGTCGTTAGCACCAAGGAGAGAATGTGATCGCACACCAGCAGCAAAGGGACTGTCCTCATGATACGTTGGAACATCTCGCTTGTAAGATGCACTCGAACTGGAACCACTCGTTTTGGAGGGCAGTGATTTTTGGATGTTGGTCTGAAGTCTCTGGGAAAGCGACTGGTCAGGTGCCCGTGAAAGTGTTTGAGGCGTGGCAGGGAATGCAGTGGTTGCCGAGTTTCCAGATTCAGGGGGGAGAGTAAAAATTGAGAGATCCATGTCTACGACGGACAATAGATCTGCCAACCGCGATTCAATTTCTTGAAGTTCCTTCAAAATAGCTTGGCTCTCTTTGATTTCGACTGACAGACCTGACAAGTCGCCTCCATCAGCAACTGCTTTGACCATCATGTCCTTGAGTTGGACCTTCCTTGACTGCTGCTCATCGTACTGGCATCTTTCTGACTTGATCTTTTCCAAAGCACCAATCTTTGTGCGTAGAGCCTTGCTTTGTGCTAAAATTTCGGGAGGCGGCAGCTCCCCTTCAATAGCGTGTTGAACCACAATAGCCGCATTTGCAACCTGCTCCTTATTCAGCTTTTCGATTGCGGTGTCAACGACTGTGAGTTTCAATGACAAGAACTGTTCAACATTAGGGTCCTTTAACGTCTGAGACAAGGGTGTTGGAGCTACAGTATCAACAACAGCTCGGGTCTTCCTTGATGATATTCGCCGGGGGGAGGCCTGAAATGTAATTTCTTGCCGTGTAGTTTTAGTATTTGGGCGTTCAACAGGCCGATGACTGCATCCCGAGGGTGTTGGTTCTTCGACTGGATACAAGTCTCTGCCAAAAGCTGGCCGCTGATTAGCATCACCATCATCAGAATCCCAAGAAAAAATGTTAGAATCGCTTATATGTCCTTCATCATCTGAGTCGGCAATAGTTGACTTCCTTGAGACGGCTGGGCGAACAGGTGATTTACGGGCGAGTTTTGGTGAAGACCTTATGGCGTAGCTAGTATCATTTGGCAGTAATACCGGTGCAGTGTCGATGTCCGACGCCTCTTCTCTATCTGGTGTGTTTGTGACGATCAAGCGAGGAGGATTTCTTCTAGGTGACGCCAGAAGATCCGACTGATATTCATCACTTTTCCTTTTTTTGCCTTGTCTGGGCAAAGTTTCCGAACGGTTGGCATAGTCTTCTCGCCACAGAGATTGTGATTCGCCAAAGGCTTCGACCGTCGCAGAGGAAGTATTCTGTTCCGCATCACCAGTAAGATCAATGGACTCAATATCGTCAAATGGAGACTTGTAGTCCGAGGAAAGGATAAGCCCAAGTTGCCGTGACGGCGTTTTCCGCTTCCTGCGTGTGGGCGAGGACGTGTTTGTTGGTGCTACTACTGCGCATTTAGCTAACTGAGTACGTGGGGGTTAAGAGCGAAGCAGAGAGTAGCGCACCTTGAGCAGAGCTGTATGTGCCTCCGAGCTTCGCACTCCCAATCTTGCGGTGACTAAAACTCGGGGTTATTGGCCCTGAATCATCACTTTTAATGCTACGCATCTGCGGCTTGGAGGCCGAAGAGGCGAGGTTCAGTCGTGCCATATTCGCGTCTTGCAAGAGACAGTCTCCATCATTATCGTACTTTAGTTCTGGACATTCATATGTCGTGTTGGTCGTTTCGTGCTTCTTTTCTGTATGCCGTAGCTCCTTTGCATGCGGTTGACGCTGCCCGTTCGTTTGTGGTTGAGCATGGAGGTTGGAGACGTCAACATCAGATCGCGTCAACACATCCAGGGAGGAAAAGTCCGGCTGACCACGGTCGACAAGCCAACGAAGGTGACACTTCAAGTTATTTTTGGTCATAGAGGCGACTCATTGCTTCGAGGTTCAATGAGAACAGTACTCTCCCCCGGCGACTGGGATTGCTTGAATGAGCTTCACAGAAAGTCGAGGCGCGGCTGCCAATCTTGAATCGGGCTGGCCAGTCGCCCGCCTTAAACGCGTTGGGGCTTAGGCGCTCCGCGTGTTCACGTGACATATCCCGCCATCACAAGCAGTTCTCAGAGCAAAGAACAACAAACACAGAGAAGAATTGGACAGAATATCGCAAAATACATATACATAGCATAGCAAGGAAGGCACGGCTTGCTCCGTCATAAACAACAGAGCGTCAGCATAGCTCTTGACTCAGAAGCAGGGTTACAACACAAAGTCACAGCAATGAGCATTGATCAAGAGAGACTGGGGAAGATCCGTGCCTTCGCTCACAGAGGACGCACCGTTGAAAGACAGTATGAGGAGGATCCTCTAAACGTTGACGCAATTCAATCATACAACCGGAAGCTCGACGACACAATTCGTTCTCTCCAGGATCATGTCCAGCGTCAGGAAGACGCATTGCGACAGGTAGGTATTTAGACAGGGTCCCAGAAGACTTTGACCGTTGTAGAATGCTTATTCATTTTCAACCTTTGCAGCTACGCGCCTCTAGGCAGGGTTTGAAGATTACTAGTCGAGGCACGGAGCCAGCTGCTCGATTGGCGCAAGTACGGCGAGTGAAGAAGGCTTACGACACTTTGCTGCAATCCGAACCCGATCTACCAGCACCAGACTCTCCATTGCCATGCCTGATTGCCTTGAGGGAAACGTCGCGTGTGATTTCGGATAGCAAAGCTTCAATCTCGAGTCTGCGGCAAACTTTGCCACGGGACCGTCAGCAACTCAAGGCCGAACGAGAGGATTTCGAAGATGCGAAACGCATCCACGATGGCCTTGAGACTCGCATTCAACGCATTCGCCACGAACAGCTGGAGAAATCAGCCAAGGATCCATCCGAACTAGCTAGTGACCTTGTCGATTCGAAGCGCAAGAGGGCTCGCGCATTAAAAAATTCGAGCACGAACCTGAAAGACGCTCTTGATAAATTCATCGATGATCATCTAGCACCGCAACTAGCAGCAGAGAATTTAGGTGGCCCGATTGTGGGGGATGCCATGGATATCCCCGATTCCACATTGGAAGCCGGATATACATCTCACGGGAAACCCAAGAAGCCAAAGGGGACTACAACACGGCATGGAGATGATGACGACGATCCTAGACAGCAGCGTATAGACAATCTCTTTCGACGGCGGCAAGGAGGCGAGGAACATGAGCAAGCAATTACGAATAAACGAGAGGCTGCAGCTGCAGCAATGCATGCTCTGGTAGACTCTTTACTCGAAGCTGGGACGTCTTACATTGATTTGCCACGAGAAAATGCGGCGTCAAGGTTTCTGGTCCGGGCTAAAGTAGCGCAGCTTCATCCACGCGATGCACGAAGGATTCGCTTGATAGATTTTGGACGATCATTTGATGATTAAACAGATTCTCCAAATCAACTTTAACATGATTAATAACTATGGCTTCCAAGCTATCATTTAATCTATCAACCAAGAAATCAATGTGTATAATTAGTCAAGTGAATCTTCCTTCAAAAAGAAAAGCTGGCGTATAACTTCGTCCGTCCTCTCACGCAATGCACCATGGTACATGGTATTGGTAATAAACTGCTTGACCCCTTTTATTTTCCTCGCCGTAGCAGTGGCCAAGTCGAAGTTGACATACATGTCATCCACATAGGTAGCAGCGTATACGGGGATCTCGTTCTTTGCCAGTTGAGCTTCGTCATACAAGTCCGGCCAATCCTCTGACGATGCAAGAATGTCCGCCACCTCTTTCATCTCTTTCAGCTCGTCATAGGATTCAAACATGTCTTTATAGATCTTCAATGATATAAGCGATAATTCAATCATCTGGGTCCTGGGAGAAACTTACCATTTCACCGGTGAAATAGATTTCTGTTTCAGCACTGCTATCGATTCGGAATTGGGGATTGGCAGCACGGAGTCTATCGGCAGACCAGCGAGAGGCTTGCCTATAAGTAGAAGAAAGAATAAAAAATATCAGCACGCGATTCGTTTCGCAAAATGAGGCGTGGTAAATGTACCCTTGGCAATAGATAGCTTCATGAAGAAGAGCGTATATCACCACAAGATCGCATTCTCCATAGCTCTCGACTAGGGAAAGTGTCGGACGGGTCAGGAATCCAAACAACTCGAGATCGTTTGTGATCCGCAGAACAATATCTACTCATAACAGATCAGCTTAGAATTCCGTTTAATAGGATGATGATGATGATGATACCATGAATGCTGTCCAAGCCACCTGTTACTCATTAGTAGTTGTAAACACTCTGTGGAATAGACGAGAGACGCACCAGATGCGCCGAAACTAATACCAAGCTGCTGAAAGCGTTCTGGCGTAAGCACACCGGATGACAAGCGAGGCTTGTTTTGCTGAAGATACTGGTATATCTTCTTAATACGTTCTGCATCCTCTGGAAATTTCTCGTAGTAGGCTTCATTCCGCTTGATGACATTTTCTGCTCAGTGATTAGCTTTTTGCCTTGAGGTGTTATATAATATTCATGCTCACGGTATGTTTTCTGATACACTGGACCAGGGCCTTTTACCAGTGGAGGCAGTCCCCCAGTGAGGAAAACCTCTCTTAGCCCCTCAGGACTGCCACAACGGCTTGAGTCAGATACATCACAGTAATGGAGGAGTGCGTACTTGCAGGAAACCAGCACTCACAACTTCGAGAGATAGGTGGTTGCACAGTAACCTCCAAAGCTCTGCCCCAAGACGCTCCATTTCTGATACTCTTCAGGGTAGTCCAAAGTCAATGATTTGCGAATGGCCTCGCAGTCGCGCACAATATTGTCTGCACGAAAGTGTTTTAAGTATTCAGCTTGCTTAATTGCGTTACCTTGGAGGGCAAGAGTCTGAGCCGTAATCGTCGAGCTCAGACCAGTCCCACGTTGGTCAAGGAGAAGAACCTAACATGCTTGTCAGCCTGGACTAGTGGAACGTGCAATGTCTAGCGCACCTGGTAACCCTTGTCAAGGACATATGGGACGAATGCCGTCTCTTGTGGCGGGCGGCATGCAAAACCCGGACCGCCCTGTAAAAACACCAGCCATGGAAGAGGCTTCTCAGTGGCATCCGTGTCGGGAAAAGCTGAGGACCGCCGAACGCTCCGAGCAAAAAGCCGAATAGTCCCTTCTGTCGGCTTGCTGTAGTTGATGGGGACGTCAAAGAAGAGCTCTGCTACTCGGAGTTTCCCTGGAGGAGGGCAGTCAGTATTGGGAATTCAGGCAGACAGGGAAAAGAGGCACGCACCAGGGACATTATGGAGGCGCCTGTCAATAAGCTTCGCTGCGGCAGGACCCATTGGAACTGCTAATGCTGTCGAGCATGTAACTGGCGAACACTTCCTTGGAGATTTTTGGAGAAGGAGAGCGCCAGCCTGGGACTTGGCGACAGCTAGTGGCTGCTGTGGGGTATCTCCAACTGCAACTTGCCAACAACACCAGAACTTCCCCGCGGAGGATCCCAGCAGAATTGGAGATTTTATCCATCAGGCTATTGGTAGCTTTTCTCATGGACCGCCCTCAAGAGAAGCAGGAGACCTTTTCTCCTTTGGGGCACGGCTTGCCCAAGCCGTAAGTGCATACATGTACATATATATATCAGTGGATCCGTCGCTCGTCGCCTTTCCAACATTCCAACGTTGCTTCCAATGCTCACAACCTCTCAGCTCTGATCTCCCGCAGCCTATCAATCCGATGCTGGTAAACAATAACGAGATGCACCGACGAGAGCTGAACGCCTTCAGCCAGAGCTTGTGGGACCTCGTACAGCAGCCCCCGAATACTGGCGTCTTGCCCTCCGCAGATGCACTGGCGAAGGCGCGCATGACTCTTCTCGACCATCTTCCAGATAGAGGCCAGGGCTTGGAGCGGACCAAAGACCATATTGTCCATGATATCATACCGGCATTCAACTCCAGCAACCTGAGTCCGAACTACTACGGCTTTGTCGTCGGCGGGGTGACCCCGGCTGCTCTTTTGGCCGACAATGTGGTTTCAGCGTATGATCAGAACGTGCAAGTACACATCGAAGAACATTCCATAGCCACGGATGTCGATTTCAAAGCATTGGGTCTTGTGGCAGATTTGCTCAAGCTTAACCGCCGGAATTGGCACAATGGAACGTTTACGACGGGTGCCACAGCAAGCAATATTTTGGGTCTGGCGTGTGGCAGGGAATACGTATTGAGAAAGGCTGCGCAGAAACGGGGTGCTCAAATTCATAGCGTTGGCGAAGACGGGCTCTTCGAGGTTATGCAAGCGGCTGGATTGAAGGGCATTCAGGTTCTCTCTACTCTGCCCCATTCTTCGGTAGGCAAAGCGGCGGGAATCCTAGGAATTGGCCGTTCAAATATGAAGAGCATAAATACTTCTCAGGAAAACCTCATTGAAATCGACATGGAGCTTTTAGAGAAGGAGCTTTCCAGGCAGGATAAGGCGAGTATTGTGGTTATTTCATGTGCAGAAGTCAACACAGGCCATTTCGCGACAGAGGGCATGGCGCAGATGCGTGAATTACGGAGACTATGCGACAAGTATGATGCCTGGATACACGTTGATGGGGCGTTCGGAATCTTTGGACGCATTTTGGATGCATCGGACGATGAGTATGCAGCGATCACGAGGGGGTGCGAAGGCCTTGAGCTTGCAGATTCAATCACAGGCGACGCCCACAAATTCCTCAACGTGCCCTACGACTGCGGTATCTTCCTGTCCCGACATGCGTCAACTGAGATCTCCGAGGATGTATTTCGCAACGCCAATGCGGCTTATCTAAATGCAGGGACGCGGGGAAAATCCTCCCAGACGGTCCCATCGCCGTTGAACATTGGAATTGAGAACTCGAGGCGCTTGCGAGCGCTGCCAATCTATGCTTCATTGATGGCGTACGGGAAAAACGGATTCAAGACTATCCTCGAGACACATATCCGCCTTGCACGCATGATTGCCGGCTGGCTCTATGATCATCCGGCGTATACCCCTTTGCCGCTTGGCTCGAGTGAAGACGATCTATGTGCTCTTACCTATACGATCGTGCTCTTTCGAGCCAATGACGAGGCCTTGAATACGCAGTTGGCCAAGAAGATCAATGCTACGTCGAAAATGTATGTTTCTGGTACATCTTGGGACGGTAAACCGGCTTGTCGTCTGGCAGTTTCCAACTGGAGGGCAGACGTGCTGAGAGACTTTGCAGTGGTGACAGACGTGCTTGAGCATGTTGTTTCGACGGGGGTAGATGGCAACAGCTGAAAATATGAACATCAATTATTAAGAGGGCTTATATATAGTTAGATAGCGCAGAATGCGTTAGAAGCATGACTTTGAATATCTTGATCATATTCAGCTTACCAATGACTTAATAATGCACTATACCTACACATTTTTATATGCACATTATTATTATTCATGTTTGTCGTCCATTCCCAGATATTCTCAATGATTACAGTATTATTGAGTGGGCGCGTCCCTTCGACCCTAAATCTCCAAGATTTAAGAAATCTTAAAAGGTATCCCTAACTACCTCTTATTACTTGAACCCCCCCCTTTTCGATTAGACTACTCCTAGAGGCCTTCAGTAGTGCACTGCCAACTACACCACCATCGGGCTTGAATGCACATATAGTATGATCACTCACTGGAACCATACAGCCGATATAGAATCACCCGTACTGTAGGCCAGACAGCCACTGGTACCTATATTTTGTAGTATCGATGCAGATATATTGACTACCTTCGTCGGCCAGCTCCTCCACCTTCTCCTCTGTCGGTCATACTGACAACCTCACCAATACCGGCAGCTTCTTGTTCATCCTCAAGGGCCATAATCTCCTCACGACTATCCCACCATTTCTCTTCCGCGAGATCAAACGCCTCTTTACGAAGCTCCTTGACTGATTTTTCTATTGTGTTCCCACGTTGCTTCAATTTCTCCATCAAATAATTCTGCCACTCAGTAGTAGTACGGGCAAAGAAGTCGCGAAGATTCTCAAAGGGTCGCGGTTGAGGCCGATCATCTTTGGCTTCTGGTTCTGGTTCTGCCTCTTCGACTTCTAGTTGTTGCATATCGCGAGTCACTGAAGGGACTGTGATTTCCGTTGGTACTTCTGATGGCGTGTCCACCGACATTGCCTCACCAGCCTCGTCTTCATCTTCCATATCTTCATCGTCATCTTCGTCATCCTCTTCGTCTTCACTTGCTTCAAGCTGTGTGTTCCAGTTGGCAGGTTCGTTGTAGAATATCTCCTTCACGCCATCTAGTTTCACCAAATCCATGGAATACATGTCATTAAAAATGAATTCCTGGTCTCCCCTTTCAAACGTCCCTCCAAAGACGAAGAGTGTATCATCCTGAACGGTCAATTGAGCATTGAAGCGAGGGTGTGGCATTTCAAATCTAACAATCGCCGGCTTAACTGGTTCCTCCTCCAGTTTCTCTTCTTCCCGCTTGGGGGTATCAATGTCCATGTCATCTTCATCATTCGCGCGAATGCCTCTTTTTGCTTCAAGAGCAGCAAGATTCCGCAGTAACTCTTCTTCGTCAGCTTTGCTGCGGTCCCGCGATTTAATGGCCTGATTCTGTTGCTTCTTGCCCTGGGCTTTAGGCCGACGTAGCGTTAGAGGGAAAAACCGATTCCTCTCCAAATTCCATGCAAACATCGAGTCGAAGAATTCGCTATCAATGCCTTCTTCGCTCATCTCCACGTCGTGCACGCCGCCAAACATGATACCTCGGCCTTTGTGGTAAGCCATCGTCACGCCAGCGCGCGGGGGATTTGGTGCATTGGCGGGTTTCTTTCGTCGTTCCCAGCGCACGGATGGGCCTGCAGATGCAGGGGCATCTGCGTCAGGGGGCGTGATACGCAAAAACCATGTGTCTTGATGTACCATTGGTTTGAGGACAACTCGCTGCGGACCGCCGCCCTTGGCTTGCTTCCCTCCTCCTCCTCCTCCTCCAGACCCAGTTGAAGCCTTTACACGAGAATATCCGCCGTACAGAACGGCGCCGGATTCGTGAGGCAGGAATGAGAACGAAGATCGAGCATCTGGTTTCTGTGATGCTGGAGGAAGTGCGGGGTTGAACCATGTATACTTTGAACAATCGTAAATCCATAGGTCTTGAAGGTATTTCGTCTGTTGGGAAGTGTCTTGGAACCCGCCAAACACAATGATATAATTCTGTATTTACAATCAGTATAATGTACCGACGATAGTGAAAGAAATGCTTCGAACAAACCTTGAAATATGTCATTCTATGCCCGCTTCGGGCTGGCGGACCTTTGCCCTTTGGCTCGATGCGAGACCATTCTCGAGTGGCTGGATCAAGATGCCAAAAGTCATTGTAGTGATAAAAAGTGCCTTGCTTAGGAGACGAGAATTCGCCTCCAAAAAGATACACGCCTCCGGCATTTCCACCGCGGCACCAGGCATGTCCACTGCGCGGCAGAGGACTGTTGGGACTAGTCACCTCGCGCCACTCTGAGCGGTCGATCAGATAGGCGTAGAGGTTATTGTAGAATGTGGCCAGGGTGCCATCGAAATATTCGCCGCCAAAGACCAGCAGCTCATTGCGATTCGCTGGCGAAGCAACAATGGTCGACGATGTGCGCGGTGTTGGAGGCCCCGATGACACTTCGGTCACCTTAAGGAATTTAGCCTGTTCCTCTGCGTAGGCTGCCAGGACAGCATCCAAATCAACGTCCTCGGCATCGCTGTCTGCGTCTCTGCCTTTGGACTTGTGCTTTTTGTCTTTCTTGTCGGCCTTTTTGGTCTGTTTGGCGGCGATGCGCTCTTTTCTCTCCGCGGTTTTCTTCTTGTCTTTCTTGGCCATTGCGTTTTCGGTATTATTCTTCCTCGGGCCTGTTGTCACCCTCGAAATCCAACATATAACGCCGTCGTGTAGTTGCTTGAAGAATTATTTATTGCCAATCCCCGCAGCCCAAACTGTGGATACAAAATTTGCCCCTTCCGCGGCCAATTGCGTGCCTGTGATTGGCCCGCGACGCTATACTTCGTCTCCGTACGATATAAAACAGTTGACAAGGCAGGTAGTTGTATGAGATTTGGATTGGCCATTATGAATGGCTGTAGCAAGTCACACACGAGAATCGACGTGTAAATAATGATCGCAAATGGCGGTGGGGGCCAGCAGCACGTCTGATAGGGCACGGCTGGGGCCTGGCAGCCTCAGGCAGTGGATCACGTGCGCCGCCGGGCTTAGCGCAGTTCGCCCTCGTGTTGCTTCCTTCAACCACGCAAACTCGTCCATCGTCTCTCTGCCCCCGTTTGCTCTGGAGGAACAGGCCCTGGTTTCCATTATTCTATTCATCTCTCAATTGCCATTCATCCTCTCCGATCTCCTGCACTGCACACCTTCACCTCCGTCCTCTTCTCCAGCACTTATACCTTGCAGCCAACATATATCCCCTTTCCGACCATCCTTCAAACCACCACCACCAGCATCGCCTCCCCTTCACATCGAACTTCTACCACCAGCACCAGCAAGTTTTCCTTAGGGACATCTGGTGTATATAAAAGCGATCACTTGTTTAAAAGAAAAACAGGAATAAAACAGATATTCACTACTTCCATCCGCTTGACTTCTAAGCATAACTAGAGGAAAGGAACTGTCACACGCTTCCGGTCGCCTGATTTCTCCCACCCAGGACGTGAATAGGAACGCAAAAGAAACAAAGATGTCTGCTTCGCCATCGACTCTGCCATCCACGAAGCGACCTCTCGAGGATCCTTCGTCACCCTCCGGTCCAAACGACCAGCCCGAAGCCAAGCGTCCAGCTCTGGACAAGGTGGTCCGCAGCGAACGCTCCGACACCGACGGCAAGGCCGATGCTGCCGCTACAAACGGAGATTCTGTAGTCGTGGATGCACTCAATGGGAAAGACTCCGGCTCTGCCATCGACACGCAGCCCATCCAGTCAACCGCGTCGCATGCAGATCGCGCGACATCGCAGCCACCCCAGCAGCAATCTACCCAAGACGAGAGCTCCTGGATTCATATTCGCGCCGTCATCTCGAGCCCGGAAGCTGCTACTTGTATTGGCAAAGGTGGGGAAAATGTCTCCCAAATCCGTCGTCTTTCCGGTGCCAAGTGCACCGTTAGCGACTATTCCCGAGGTGCTGTTGAGAGAATCTTAACTGTCAGCGGTCAACAGGATGCTGTTGCAAAAGTGAGTATTATCAAGAACTTTTTTTCTTCCCCTTACCTTTTATTCGTGGTATACACGCGTGTCGAAAGAAGGTTATACTGACATTATGAAAGGCTTTTGGTTTGATTATTCGGACTCTTAACAATGAACCCCTCGAGGCCCCCTCTACTGCTCAATCAAAGACATATCCTCTCCGTCTCCTTATCCCCCATATCCTTATTGGTTCCATCATAGGAAAAGGGGGTGTCCGCATTCGCGAAATCCAAGAAGCCTCTGGTGCTCGTTTGAATGCTTCTGACGCTTGCCTTCCTCTTTCCACAGAGCGCTCTCTTGTTGTCCTGGGTGTTGCTGATGCCGTGCACATTGCAACTTATTATGTTGCCGTCACTCTTGTAGAGCAATTGACGGAGCGATTCGGCGGCCCTGCTGCGTCTGCTTATGCTACACGAAGCGGCGGTCCTGCTGGTGTCGTTCCCGGCGGCATGCAAGTTGTGCCATATGTTCCCCAGCCCGCTGGTGGACAGTACGGCCACCCAGACTCGTTCAAGAGACACTATCCTCAGTCCAACCGACCTCTCCCCGGATCCTACGGTGCCCCCTACGCCCATGGTCCTGCTGCACAAGCTCCAGTCACACAGCCTCCCCTTCACTATGGCGGCTCCTCTCGTGCTCCGTATGCGGGCGCGGGTCCACACCAGCCTGCTCCTTACGGAGCGCCTCATGCCCAGCCTCACGGTGCAGCAACTCAACCTCTTTCAGGTGTTGTGCCCAGCCAGCCCATTACCCAACAGATCTACATCCCCAACGACATGGTTGGCGCCATCATTGGTAAGGGTGGTACCAAGATCAATGAAATCAGACACCTCAGTGGCAGTGTGATCAAGATCAACGAGCCTCAGGAAAACAGTAACGAGCGTCTTGTCACTATTACTGGCACACAGGAGTGCAACCAGATGGCATTGTATATGCTGTATGCGCGATTGGGTATGTCATCTTGTCTAATTTCTTCTGACTAATACTAACGAATAAATGCAGAAAGTGAGAAACATCGTATCTAATTTTGTTTCAATTTCCTGCAATTTCCTCGTTGCTACTTATATCCTCTAGCGGGTTGTCGTCAGGTGCAGCAAATAAAAGCTCTTGTTTCGACTATTCTCTTGATTTACCAAGTCAATTAGCTATGTAATTTGAATGGAGGTGGTCTCTTGTCTCCGGCAATATTCTTCTTCTTTTTTTTTTTTTTAAGAATAATCCTATTGACCAGATGCCTCCAACACTCGGAGTTTGCTTTATTAATTAGTACGATATACGATACCGATGAACTTTTGTAGTTTCTTCCATAGCATTCTGAACAATTTTGTCAAAAATTATTATCCCACATCAAAACCCAATCTTCTGAAACTTGACATGCTTCATCTCCAGCCCCTTGACAGCCGGCGACAAGGCCACCTTTCTCAGCGGCACAATCGTGTCCGCAAACGCCTGCGTCTCTCTAAACGCCGCATGGTGTTCCTTGCCCCTCCACCCAACGGCGTGAAGATGAACAACAACCTTGCCGGACCCGCTACCGGGATGATCAAACATCGACGGACGCTCAACCTGTCCTCGGGCCCAAGTCAGAGCCCTCGAATCCTCGGGTGTGGAGGGGTTGGTGAGCCCCGCGGCCTGGAAGGCGGTCTGGTCGATGTTGAATTGGCGGTGCTGCTCGGGGGAGAGGTCGCTGGGCACGGCGAGCGTGACGAGTTCGGTGACCGGGTTGGTGGTGAGAGTGTCTGTTTCGGAGATGGCGGGGGAGAGAGTAGAGAAGATGTTGGTGAGGGTTGCCGGGTCGTCTTTGTTGTTGTCGACGAAGGGCTCGAGACGGGACAGTGAGGTAGTGCAGTATGCATCGGCCCAATCTGTCAAATTTGTATTTGAGCGTTGCCATAGATGTCAGTCCGTCATGTCCTCTCTTTATGGTGCCGGGAAGGGGGTAGACGTACCGATAACCCAGACAAGTACATTCTCATCCTCCAACGTCCGACCCCAGGCTGAACCTAGATGGCCGCTCTGCAGAATCGTCTCCCGGAAGAGGTCGAGAAGCTGCTCGCCCTCGCGGTTCTGCTCGCCCTCCTCGGGCTTGACAGAGGGCTTGACGCGGAAGAACACAAACTCGGTGACGGCGGTCATTTTTTTTTTTTTTTTTTTTTTTTTTTTTTGTGTCTTTCTGTTGTAATGTCCGATGAGTGTTTTCCGAGACGAAAGGATGAAGTTGTACAAGAATTAGACAATGTCTGTGTGAGATTCTTCTACGACGGAAACGTGACGCTGACAGTTACGTACGTAGCGATAAATTATGCAAGGCGAGCCAATGGCTGTGTATGCTCCCCTCGTGCTGTCGTGCCCACGAATGAAGGTGAATGCCAGGTCCGAAGAGATGTTCACGTCTGTAGTTAAGAAGGAGCAGAGGCTTTTTTTCGATGTGGTCTGAAGTTATCGTCTTATCGAGCAGAGCTATGATGTCATTGCTTGTAAACATAGCTATAGCTACATACATATACTCACATCGGCCATAGGGCAGGCCTTTGAAGCTGGCTCTAAATACGAAGCATGAGTTAAAGTATTGGAATATGAGTGACGTGTCCGTTATTCATGTCTATGTGTTGCATGTCTGGAAAATCTCAGTAATTCGTGTTAGGGCTAGGGCTGAATACCACCACCCATCCGGGCATCCTCACAGGTATACCTCGTATGGAACACTATTCTCTAGAATGGTTACTTATGACTGAAAATACGGAGAATCACTGCGTGCCTAGTCACGTCTTACAGTGTATAGTGTCGCTATATGATGTACTGGTAGTCCACGTATAAGTCAGGCAGCGAAGCGCCCTGGCCGTAGCAGTATACCACCCAGAAATATTTTTCAGGACCTGAAATCTGCATGGCTAGTCTTGCAAGAAAATGCAGGCCACAATTCTGGACTATGCAGACTTGCATGGATCAGGTTACACGACTTTATCAACGGGCATTTCATCGCTGATATGCCAAGGGTCGGCTCTGTAGCATTCGCCAAATTGGTTGACGAATGGTCTGGAAAGTCTGAGTATCCAAACAAGCACCTGGACAGGCTTGATTTCACTGAAAATGAGTACCATTTTCTGATTTACATGGTCTACATTGCTGTGCAAAGTGTGAAGGACGTGTGCAAATTCAAGGCAGCACAGGATGTCGCAAAGCTCGTCCAGGAAGAAAATGGCTCATCTGCCAATGAGCCACCAGCTGCCCAGAAGCCCCAAGCCGACATCAACAACAGCAGCAACCTTTATTATCAAGCTCGCTTCTTACCGTCAAGCACAAAATTTTACGTTACGCAAGAAGGCAACATTGACAGTCGCACACCAGCGTGTCGATCTGGTTGCTCTCCCCTCGTAAACCAGTAAACGACACGTTCGAGATTCAGTCCCTGACATTTGCGAAATTGACTCAGATTTTGAAAAAGCGAGGTACCTTCGAGACTCCTGCAAAGCACCAGATCTTCTACTACGACCCCGAGAATCCAATGATGGCCAACACGGTCGACGATTCTCGTTCGTTCCGCGTCGGGGTCGAGGACATGGTTCATTCTTATTATCAACGTCAACGCCAGTATGTTCATAATCAGACTCATCGTGAAGCACCAAAGCTCGAAATTGAGTTCTACGTTCGTGAGAAATGCCTTGAGGCACGGTTAGTAGACGATCTTACATGAACTATTTCAGGTTTTCGAGCTAATGAGTTGCAATGCAAATAGAGACGCTCCACCGGTGACACCTAGTCCGAGTCCCAAGAACAAGAACAAGCGCCGTCGGCCCAAGTCTATCTCCAAGGACAACAACTACAACAGCAAGAAACTCCGCGTCCATGGCGACAAACAGGAATAGGCTGCGTACGGCTCTTGAGCTGGCTGGCATTGATCTTTCCGTGCTTCGGCTGGTATGGCTAGATGTCAGCAGTCTGGATTGAGAGACAGCACTGTACATTATACATTGCTTACTTGAGAGGAAGAATGGGTGAAAGTGTATATTAAATGCGAGGACTACACCGGGGAAGTGAAAAGGGGGCTGTAATTGAGATACCAAAAGTTTCTTTGCTTGTCGTTCAAGAGAAAATGCCAATGTTTCCAGAGCTCTTTGTACAGGTAGATAGATACCTTGGAGCGAGAATCTTCAATTCAAAATCATACGATGACAGACTTGTAATGCAAGAGTCGAATTCCATGCCCAGCCTCCTTACCTACCACACAAGTAATGTTTGAAAGGAAGAATCGTCAGTAGTGGTTCACTTAGGAAAAGAGAGTTGTAGACAAAGAGGATTAACAAGAAAACCACACATAGTAGAAGGACTGCTACAGGCCTTTTTTTACCGGCTATTTCCTATCCAACTGATACTCTGCTTGTTAGAAGCCTAGTAAAAATTGTCTTTCATCTATATCAAACGAGTACTGTATTTCAGTATAGACATGGCGCAAATTTCCATAGTTTGCGACAGAATGGCATTGTATATCAATTAAACGTGACATCCAACTATTACTGTAATGAGCAGGATTACAAGCAGAACATGCACTCCCGTCTAAGCAGTCAAGATCACGACAATCCATTCACAGGAATAATCCTCATACAATCTGCTAAGGAATCTATTGAACACCCAGAATCTCCCACCCGAGATTGATGAACGAGACCCGATCAATCCAACAGCTGTCCGCGGCCAATTATTAGGGCTGGGCCTGTACTAAATACATACCGGATTTGGTGTTAGGGTTTGGGCCCTTTTACGCCTCGTGTCAGGTCTCGGATGGTACGAGTATTTTTAACTAGTCTTTGCTATTCTAATCCGTGACCATACGCCTTGATCCTTTTTATCTAAGATTATAATATGATACAGTAATCGTCGTGAACCTTCTCGCTGAGACCGGCCTCAATGTGGATGATCTGGCCCTGGCAGTGTGCGATTATAGTAATCCTCCCCATAGACCGGACCGTACTTCGGATGGCTAACCAGAGCTCCATCTCGCCACGTTGCCATGTCCTTAGCAGGGATGCCTCGCTCGCGGACCCATCCATCAAAGTGCGTCCAGTCGACACAGACTTCCTCCGTGCTCACCACAGGCCAAGGGATCTTGCGTGTATCGAGCCATTTGTAGGTCTCAAACCCTGTACCAACGTGGCATTGAACGAACTTGATAACCCCATCATCATTTAGTTATGAGTACCTCTGCATCTACGTAGTTGATAATGAAACTTACCTGTCGCAGATTGTCGACACAATGATCTGTGTGCTTCATTATCCACGCCGGCCCACCCTCGTCTTCGCCGTAGAACTCAGGGTGCGCATAGCGATAGATGTTGTATAAGCAGTGAAGCATGTGATAGCCCTATTACTAAATGTCAGTCACCGAGAAAGTCAATCTGGAGGTAGAAAATTTGCATATTCATGTATACCTACAATAGGCACAGCAAGGTAATCCCCGGAACCATCATTCACCTGAATAGATGTCATGTTCATTTTTTTCATGTCGGCCTCCGGTACCCGTAAAGTGTGTGCTAACGTGGGCTCGCATTAGTCTGTCTCTACATAATATTACTATGAGGGTGCTTGGAATGGATTCCTGTTTTTGGTACTTACCTCCATTCATCAGATATGTCCACTCCTCCTCAATGTCTGCGATAGGCGCGCCATTGAAGGGGTTCGTGGTGTTGAAATTGTAATCCACCTCTCGAACCTGGTAGCGGTATGCATCATTCAGTGCATTATCTGTTCAGGTAAATAGGGAATGTCAGTTAAATTGTCGGTGGCGTGTGTACAATGTGGAAGTCTCTCTCACACTTCAAATCGTACGGGTTGCGTGACTGGTGAAAGATTTCTGGGAATATAAAAATCCCAATAGCGCACAAAAGAACTGTATAGACTACCAAAATGCCGACCTGGATAAGGGCCAACTTTGTAAGCCTCGTCCAGGCTGGGTGTTTCTGAAGAAATGGCCCCAAGGGAATTTCATATGTAGAGCTACTTCTTGGGTTCTCGATGCTGTTGTGCTCGTCTTGTGCTTCTCCTTCTTGAGTAAGCAAGCTATACTGCTGTTGCAGATCGGCAGGCATAGTGACTGCTTAATTGCTAAGATGCCTTGGAGGAACCCAAGTATTAGAGGGATATAGTCTGACGAAAGGAAAAATAAAATAAGAGATACGTATTAGTTTACCTAGGTTATCTAGAATCTAGATACACCGCTGTTAGTGCATGTTACCGAGGGGTTTATTGTAGTATACACTTAACTGGGTTAGGTAGGAGCATAAGAATGCGATAGATTAAACTAATGCTTACGTAGTACTGCTACTGTCATGATCTTACATGCATATACTAATATCCACCAGATACCTGCCTAGGTAGGTAGGTTCCGTACTATATACACCATGTTGCTTGCTGGGCATCCAGATATAGACACAGTACTTGCATATCACACTTCAATAAGTACTTTAAGCTATGTAAATGCCAAGAAGATTCATGCCCAGAGAATTCAAGCACATCATATAGAGTTAACTACTGTAAGCTTTAAGGTTCGACGTTCGTAAGTACTAAGCGCTATCTTTTAGTCAAATGGAGCCAGCCGCCTGAATAATTCCCCATAACAAACATTCTACGATGTACTAATATACCGTTTCAGGTCTTATCTTTTTGCTAGTGTTTAGGAGTGCTTTTACTGTTCAGTGCTGTTACCCCATTTGTGTGTGAATCCTCCTCATGGCAATTTGTACATTCTCTGACGCCACTTATGTATATACATTGCAATCGCAATACATTAAAAGGATTCTGCTGAAAATCCAACGTAAGATTTTAATGGGATATTTGTTAGACATATGTGATCTGAGCTGTATCATTGCATCCTGTCTTATCTTCAATGATTTTAGAAGCATGAAGAATCTCTTCCCAGTAGTGTATAAATAGGGATATCTAGACCTGACATTCGTCTTCTCGTTTCCAAGTTATTCAGTCATCTTCCCCTCTCTTTTTCTGTTCCAAGAAATTCCTTACACCGGAGAAGAATTACACAACATGAAGACAACATTCGTTCTGTCTGCCCTGCTGGGCCTTGGCCTTGCTTTACCCACGCCAGGTTCGTTAACACAATAATTACCAGAGAGAATATACATCTAACCGAGTCATATAGAGATGAACACCCGTGAGGTCGATCCATTCTTGGGTGCTAAGAACGTCTGGAACCGTGATACTGAGGCCGACCCATTCTTGGGTGCTAAGAACGTCTGGAACCGTGATACTGAGGCCGACCCATTCTTGGGTGCTAAGAACGT